GTAACTCAGATCATACCTAACACATCAATTTCCAGCAGAGCAGCTTCCAGATTGTGCTCCGTTATCTCCAGCTCTGACTTATACTTCCTTACATCGGTTAAAGCATCCACAACACTCTGCTTCACCTTTGTTACATGGTCAGAGATCGAACAAGGTTGAAGAGGTTGCGTGCGCTGCAAGTTAGATCTGTTTGATGCCCTAGTGCCGTGAGATGGACCTCCTTCAGCTTTCTTTTGAACTCTAGTTTCCTTTTCTTCTTCATCTCGCGACGCTTGAATCATCCTTGGCTCTGGAGTCTTATACCCATCCAGTGATGCTTCCTTTATTTAAACACAACTTTTTTTTAGCATAAAGATTTCTCCAAAAACAATAAAATGAAAATGAAATGGTGTTAACCTTGGAGCTGATCTTGAGAATAGGATCAGTTCCTCCTCTAATAGCCTCTAGTGTGAAGGCATCACCAACTTTCTTTATACCATTTGCTACAAAGCATTTTTTTAAACCTCTAATGTAAAACAGTCCCTTCATTTGACCTAGATGTAACTTCCACTCCACGTCATCTTTGTTCACTATAGTTATCTTTCCCGCTTCCTTGATCCCATTAGCTCTTCCGAATAATGCAGGTACTCGCTTCAACAACACTCAACCCATTTGAAACAATAACAAAAAAAAAAGACTAAGAAGTAAAAAAAAAAAAAAAACTTAAACAGAATGTGTTGGAACTTACAAGTCGACCTGTCAACATGTATGGTTTTAATACTAATGCCACAGTCTTGTTCTGATTCATTGAATCAGGCTCTGAGCAGTCCTCGGATTCAATCTCATTATCACCTTCAGCGTTGGGACATAACTGTAGCACCGGTTCTGTTTCTATTCTTGCTCTCTTCTTCGGAAAAGTGTTATTTGGATCAAGTTCATCATCATCATCATCGTCATCATAAACATCATCATCAAAAATAGTATGTTCATCATCATCATCATCAGAACAATCATTTTCAGCTTGAGAGGTAGATGAGATATACTGAATCTGATGTGAGAAACTGCGTCCGAAGGGTGTGACGTGGAAGACCATGTCACCATCGTGCCTGAAGCTCAAAACGTCGTCGTTTCGGATACAGTGGTGAACAGAGAAGTGTTTCCATCCGCGGGAGAATCTCTGACCGTCCAACTCAACTTCCCAAGCTCTGTCCGAAGCGTCTGAAGTCAGTTTTATTTTCGTAGACTGAATGTTACCCTTTAAGTGATTTATAACAAACGAATCAGGAATAATCTGTAAGTTGTAACAACAACAACAGTTAAGGAAAACAAAACCATATGTTAAACTGTAGATATTAAATTTTAGCCAAAAAAAAAAAAAATGTAGATTATAATTTGAGATAGAAAGAGAAGGTACAGGATTTGAGTTTTGTCCAGAGAGATCTAAAATGAAGATAGGTTTCTTGGTTGAGGAAGCCATAACTGAATCCGCCATTGTTTACCAAAAACTCTAAAGGAACTTTTCTATATATGAAAGTTGTCCTTTCGTATTCTTCGTCCTCGGTACTAGTGGTTTTACGTTACCCCAGAATTGAAACTTTCATTTTATTCTTTTTTGTCTTTTACGAAACTGTAACTCCGTTAATTACTGTATCAAATTATTAATTCTCTCAGAGATATTTTCTTAATCATTCATTAACAAACGCCGTGCAGTTGTTTTTTGGAAGCATTGAACGGCAAGATATTTATCCATCGACTGGACTAAAACCTCTTTCAAATGTAGGACTTAATTATCCTAACAACCCTGGATCTCTTAATTATTTTTAATAGTATTTAGTAAAAATGTGAGTATAAGAGACTCGTTTATTTATAGCCCATTACAAGTCTTAAAAAAATTATTAAATATTTTTATATTAAACTCAAAATAATTATTATTACTTTTTTTGGCAACTTTAAAAAAAAAATTATTTAATTAAACATAATAAAAATAACATTTTAAACATAGATTTTTAAATAAAAACATGAAAACAAAAATTAATAAAATAAATAAGAATAATTAGAAATAAGCATCCGAGCTTCATCACATCCAAATTTACGATGTAACAAACGAATCAGGAATCATCTCTAAAAACAACAACAACAACAACAACAATTAAAGAAGACAAAACCATATGTTATAACTGTAACAAGAGTTTGAGATAGAAAGTGAAGGTACAGGATATGAGTTTTGTCCAGACAGATCAATTAATGATGAAGATAGGTTTCTTGGTTGAGGAAGCCATAACTGGATCTACCATTGTTGAACAAACTCTAAGAAAGTCTTCTTGAAAGTTGGTCCTTTGAATTATTCTTCTTCGGCGTTATACTAGTGGTTTTACGTGACCAGAATTGAATGTTTTATTTATTCTTTTTCTTTTACGAAATTGTAACTCCGTTTTTCCACTGAGGTTAAATTAATGACGGATAGATATTTTCTTACTCATTCTTCAACAAACGCCGTGCAGTTACTATTCGGGAGCAATGAACGACACGTTGTTTAGCCAATCAGTTACTAAAAATAAAAGAACTACCACATCCACTCAAATAAAAAAAAATGTAATTTTTCCGCTAAACCAACCAATACGCCCCCATTATTTCTCACGCCAAGCCATTCTTTTTCCGCTAAACCAACCAATAAGCCCCTATTACAGCTTTTATTTCAAAAATCAAATTGTGTCATCATAGCAAACTAATTATCGATATATTTGCCGTAAAATCAAATAGTGTCATAATAACTTGAAAGAAAATGATCCTGGAGATATGTTTATTATGGATGATTAGGGTTGAAAAAGTTTGTGTGCAGCAAATGATCCGACGAGGCAAAATGTCTTGCTCTAGTATTGTTTCAAGGTTAGTGTTCACACAACATAACTTGCAATGCACGTTTTGGGATTTTCTAAGTTGAAATTACTAAACAAAGGACTTGTATTCAGATGGAGCAACCACCATTTAAAACAGAGTGTCAAGGACACAAGGGACTTAGGAACGACTACAATCTAATTCTCCAACCCTAAAAGTCTGAAACAATCTTTTTTTATTGGAAACAAAGACTTCAAATAGAACAGAGTTTACAAAAGTATGTGGATGATCTTCAGCTACACATTTAAACTTAGTTATTACTTGACGATGTTGTTTTATTCGCTTTGCTTCTCCTCTCTGTATGCCAACATGTAACTATTAGAAAATAGAGTAGAAACTATAAGAACATATATCAAATAAGTGAAACTACATATCTTACCTATGTTGTTGATTTCTTGCAATGAATCTTGTAGTTCTTGTTCCTTTGTCTTGAGCTCTTCACGAAACCGTATGATACTAGCTAAAGTACTTACAACGCTGTGTTTCACCTTAGTCATATCATATATGAGTCAGAACAAGGTTGCTTGTCTTGCAAGTTTTCTTGGTTTGCATTGGTTTTGTTAGGTGCCCTAGTGCGATGAGAGGGCTCTCCTTCTTCAGCTGTTTCCTGACTCCATTTAGCTCGCTTGTGCGCCCGAGCCGCTGCTTCAAATGGTGTGCCGCTGTTTAGTAAAATTAAACAGTTTACGGATCTTTGATTCAGTTTCTCCCTTGATGACAAAAAAAAAAGATTCAGTTTCTCCCTCTGGATTGTTCTTCTTCTTCTTCTTCCTCTTATTGGGTTTCGTCTCTTTGGTTAGTGTTTTATGGTTTAATTCTGCGTTGAGTGTTTTGACTTGGTGCTTTTCGTAAACTCCAATCGAGTTACGTGTAAATTTCTGCTTGCTTGCTTGCTGCACTATTTTTCTTCCTTTCACTATCATATGGTATTTTAGTTTTTGTGGTGAGCAGGTTTCAATAGATATAGAGACACATCGTAACAGGCAATGATCATCGGAATCCTAGGAGTCTGGTTTTGTTTTCGAGTTTAAACATTTGTTTTACAGGCAAGTTCAACTTCAACATTTGAAACACAAATTTCACCAAATGCTATAGCATACTTTTTCAAGGAAAATTTTTGCTTGCTTTTTCCTCTGTATTGTTGTTCTTCTTTTTTGAATGATTCGATTTCTTTGCTTTGATAACTGATTATAGTTTGATCTGCGCTTAAAAAGTTTAACTTTGTGGGTTGTAGGGAATCCAGTTGAGCTGAGCTTATGGGTAAATTATCTTCTGTGAAAAAAATGCTCTATTGCTTTCTACTTTCTCTTTTGAATGCAGAGTTTCTGTTGATTGTGCATTCAAAAGAGAATGTAGCAAGAAAAAAAACATGTTTATAGCATGGGCAGATATTAAAGCCTTTATTACCTGTATATCTTAGTGGACAAGGATCATCATGATCCTAGGAAATGTCTGTGTTTATTACTTCAACATGTAATGAAATGTGCCAACTTTTGCTGCCATTGTTTGCTGGGTTTGGTTATTCATTGAGCATTGACATTTGTTCGTCACTTGGTTTATAAATGCATTTCTATCTGGATGAAGGAACTTTTCCCACAATCCTTGCAGGTTTCTTTGATCTGGGTTCTCCTTCAAGAAATGAAACATACATACGAACTTGGATCCACCGAAGCTTTTGATTCCATTTCTTTCTCTGGATTGTTGTTCTTCTTCCTCTTATTGGGTTTCTTCTCTTTGATAAGTGATTCGGTATAGATTTATGTTTTTATTCTGCGTTGAATGTTTTGTTTTGGTGCTTTTTGGAAATCCATTTAAGTCACTATTATAGTGTTGTAGTTCAGAAGGGGAGAAGAATTCAAAAACTTATAAACATCATACATCATGGTGTTGTTGTAGTTCAAAACAGAAGCATATTTCAAAACCTTATATACATCATAAATCATGGTGTTGTAGTTCATAAGGGGAGCATATTTCAAAACCTTATATACATCATACATCATAGTGTTGTAGTTCATAAGGGAAGTAGATTTCAAAACCTTATATACATCATAACTCACAATGATCATCAGAATGATAGGAAAATGTCTGGTTTTGTTTTGGATAAAAAAAGGAAACGGATAATGTGCTTAACTTTGACTGCCATTGTTTACTTCTTCATGGTTATTCTCTGGCATGACTTGGCTTGAGGAGCATTGACATTTCTTCACTTTGTTTATGTATGACTTTTGATCTGGCTGAAGGAACCTTTCCCATAATCCTTGCAGGTTTCTTTGGTCTTGGTTCTCCTTCAAGAACTGAAACACAAATTTTCCCAATGCAATAGCACAGACTATGGCTGCAGTGAGAAACAAAACCCAAAAACTGTCGATCCCAAGTTGCAGGAAGGATTCAGATGGATTTGGGTCCGGGTTTGTGAGTGGATCTGGGCAGCTTTCATCTATGTTCTTGAACCATGCGTTCTCTAGTTGGTTTGCCTTGTTAGACTCTTCCACTTTTAGAATGGCCCTTGAGACATCAGCCACTAGAGGGGATCCAATGGGAAATACCTGCACAAGAAACTTATGGTCTTAGCACTGTGTTGAAGAATGCTGCAAGAGAGAGAGAGTGTTTTTGCAAAAGGTATGGACTTACAAAGCCAAACCCATCGACCTTGAATGGTGTTTGAACCATTTTATACTTGTTACAGTACTGTCCGAGAAAGAGTCTCACATATGGAACTTCCATGAAAACTGCAGAAACACCGCCTCTTGCTGGTCCTTTGCTCAGTAGATCGTCACAGTTTTCTGGAGATTTATAGGTTACGAGATTAGCATCTGAGAAACCTGATTCTCTGAGTCTTCTCAAAATGAAGTAACTCCTTTGATATCCCACACTTGCTCCCTTTGCCAGCAAGGTATTTATGTTGGTTACAGTTGGATGAAGCTGCTGTGATGTAAGAAGCGATGCCAAGCTAGCGGTGTAACTCTGAGTCAACACAAGTACTAAGAAGTACCAAATGATTACCACCAGCCTTGCCCAGAAGCTAAGCACTCTTTCTCCTGTAGATGCATTAGATGTAAACAAGATGATGTTTGTGAAAAAAATGAGCAATGAAAAGGAGAGAGAGAGAGGGGGACATACTCGGTGCAAAGACCATAACGGAGAAAGAAAAAGGACACAAGGCTGATTAGCCAAAGTTCTATTGTCAAAGGCGCCAAAAAGATGGTACTGCTTCTTTTAACTTTTTCTTTAAGAGGGACGACCAGACCCACACCTGATGGTGTGTATGGCAATGAAAACTCAACATACTTTGACCTGTTTGCAGATATTGTTGTATCTGCCACCACAGCGTCATATTTCTGCTCAAAACACAAAAGAACAAGGACATCGTTTAGATAATCGAGAGCTTAATGAAGGTTAGACATGAAAGAGGAAGTGGTCAGTATGCTTCACCCCTAGGTACACTTGGTAGACTAAAGTGTCATAATTAAGACCTGTTACGGGGATGAAGTCATAAGAAACATCATAGGGCATAGCCTTAATAACAGCGTCAAAGTAGTCGATGCAGAATCCACTGAAAATTATTGAATTGGTGATAGGATCCCTTCTATCCGTCAAGAATTGTGGAAAACCGCTATCAGTTGGGACTCCAATCTTCAGCCTTTTCCCATTTGTTGGGATCTCCCATCCTTTGGGTACAGAGATGGTGTCTCCAGGCCATATAATTTGTCTGAGTCGATCTTTCCAAGTAGAGAAACTGGTTGTGGTAGCTGGTTTTTGGTCGACGCTCTTCAAGAGACCATGTTCTTTTGTCCAAAATCCTATGGTTCTTCCTCCATGCCCATTCACGTTAACAATCTCAAACACTGATGGTTGCAGTTCTCCATTTATAAATTGGAAATCACCAGCAAGACCTTTGAACCGAACTCCAGAGAGTGTGTGGAGAAGTTTTGGACCATACTGAGATACACCTAGACCTTGAAAGCCAGACATGTTCCTCATGGCATCATCTGTCTTTACAAAAGTCAAATTTGATGTGCCAGCTTCTTCTATGGCCATTGCAAGTGCAGTGGTGGCATCATAAGCCCACAGTCCATACACGTTCAGGTCAGATATTGGGAACCTTTCCATCCATCGAGATTTAAATGCTTCAAGCTCGTCGGATCTCGGCACATAAGTCTTTACCCCCAAGACCCCCTGTATTGTATCAGTTTCTGTCTCCTTCATGAAACTAAGAGCATCTGCCATGGCGGTTGTGAGGATCCATACATATCCTTGTTTCATCATTCCAGCTTCCTTAGCTTTGGCAAAAAATCTTGAGGCAAGCAAATTACCAAAGTGGACAACAAATATTCTAGTGGGTAGACTCATCATCCGGAGAAGTTTCACAGAGATTTCATCATCCGTTGCATTGGGAGAGATCACGGTTCTATAAGGTATACGAACGTTAATCTCCTGTAACGCATCTGTAAGCTGAGGCATTATACCTTCTCCAAAAGTGTTGTCAACGTAAATAGGTGCAACCTCTCTCCATCCAAAAAGTTTGATGATTGCCTTAATGGCGTGCACTTGGGATGAATCATCATATGTAGCCCGAAAGAAGTATTGACTACGAATGGAAGATAGGAATGGACTGGTTGCAGAATATGAAACAATTGGTACCTGAGATTTTTTTCCTATCTCAATCATGAATTGAGTCTGCATAGAACTCCATGGCCCTAGAATTGCTTTCACTTCCTTGTTGGTTATCAGTTCAAGAGCTGCGACACAGTCAATGTACAAGAATGTTATGTTAAGCAAAAGTAAACAAGAATTGTGTATATGAACAGGTCATTAATGACACACATATATAGTGCACCTGCTGCTGCTGCGAGGACAACATCGTTTTTTGAGTCAACAATGGTGGTTACAAGTCTTGTCCGGGTTTCTGGATGGGAAGAGTAGAAATCCGAGAGAGACATGTCGATACAAAGCAAAGTCATGTTGGAGTATGCCATTCCTACATCATTCACGATTCCCACTTCAACATCAGTTGCCATATTCTGTGCTTCTCCAACTTGCATCATCAATATGATGAAAAATAAAGGTAAGATGAGAACGAGGTTGTTTTCTTTCTTCATTTCGTCTTCTTCTTTTTGTTTAGTACTTGCCAAGAAAGAATGAAACCTGTTTGTCTATATGGTATGCTCTTTGTTGCAGAATGAGATGCCTTGAGAATTTGGCAAGTGGGCAAGTCATTATATGGTGAGTTATGTTGTAGAATGTATCAAACAACAGCAGCATATTTTAATCAATGGAATGGAACTTGTCTTCAGGTACTCTAGTTTAGTCAACGGTTAAGGTTAGGACGCAGGAGACTTTGATTAGTATTTTGCTAATAGATTAAGAAAAGGTGTGGTTCAAAGGGACACGTATTGTTCTGCTACGTAAGAGAGAATAAAAAACTAGAAAGATACCAGACAGAATGTTAAACCTTAAAATTATGCCCCAGGAAAGTTCTTAACGGTTGACTCGAAAATCTCAACAAGATTCCTACGTGTTGACGTCTAGCCAGAAGCAACAAGAGAAATGCTTTCAACAAGCTGAAAAATATTTTTCCCAGAACAAGAGCTAATCCAAGAAATAGTTGCAAGATTGAAGTTTTAAAGCTAATAGGACCAAATGTTTCTTTACAGTAGCATAATAAAATGTAGAGTTATTTTTTTTCACAGAATAAAAGGAATGGAACCAATGTTTCTTTACAGAAGCATCATCTTGGGACTTTGTCTTAACTTTCAATACCCTGCCATATTGTCACTTCCCATTGAGTTCACTAGTAGTATAAAAAATAAAATTAAAGCAGATTCTTACAAAATCAGACACAAAAGAGTGTATAAATGAGCCAAACTTTCATATTAAGATTTTTATGTTTTAGGGTGTGTTTATTTGGCAAACATGTTGTTCTTAGGGTGTTTAATTAATCAGCTGTGGTATTGTATTTTACAGCACTACTACATGAAGAGGCTGAAAGCTGACTTCCACGTACAGACTATACAGTCATGTCAACAAACATCTTGAACGAGGAGCAACGCAAAGAGATGAAGATGTGTTCATATCTAGTAGAACTTTATAAGTCATATATAGGCTCATAGCCAGTGGCGGAGGCATGATGATTAGTCATAGGGGTCAAAATAGTTTTTTTATTTTTTATAAAAACCTGCATAAATATTAATGGACTTGTTGAATTAAAATGTGATGAGGGTCAAAAATATTATTTGATTGTGGTCAATATTAAATAAATGGTAAAATTTAAGTGTATTTTCAAAATTTCATGTGGGTCAACTGACCCCCTCCGTAGTAAGCTACTCATAGCACAAACTAAAAAGATGTACAATTTTATGAAGAAGAAAGAAAATATGGAACAATTTGCGTCTTATTCTTACATAATCTTGTAGTCCTTTCATACAATTAAATATTTCAAGCTTTTATTGTCCTAACTAAAAAATAAAATAAAAACCGTAACACAGAAAAAGGGAAATAAAAGAGCTAATTGAGGATTGGGCTTAGACCAACTCCAATGGAGGGTCCTTAACAACAATTCCTTAAAAAAAAGTAATATAAAATTATATGGGACCTACTAATTTTAGGTTTATGTGCCATGAAAATCCTTATCTAAGGATTAAATCTGATGAATCTGTTCACTATTCACGGGTCCCATTGACATGTGGCGACCCGTGATTGGTTAAATTTTTTTTTTTTTTTAGAAAAAATTTAAAATATTCAAATTTAATCTGAGATGCCCTTTTACTAAGGATCCCAATGAATCTCACTATTGGAGATGCTCTTAGGTTTGGGCTTCATTATGATTGGTTGGCAGTAAAACTCTGACAAGACCTAGGACGATGTGTCTTCTTTTTTTCCTTTCTCCTATTGTCGCCTAGGGTTTAGATCATTTGTTTGGTAACTGTAAGCAGGCCCGGCTCAAAGTTTTTTTGGGCCCATGGCAAAAAATTTTTTTTACATATACTATAGTATTTGAAAAATCTAAGCTCTTTTCTATATGTGTTTTTAATAAAAAATTGTGTCTTTTTCTTTTAGTATTTATATTTTTCTCTCAAAATTGGGCCCTTTTTCTTTAAAATTGGACATTTTTTCCTTAAACTTGGGCCCTTTTTCTTTACTTTTTATACAAAAAATTTTTTGGACCCATGGCCCATGCCCCTTTGGCCATGGGTCAGAGCCGGGCCTGACTGTAAGCTAAAGTGATTCTTAATACAGAATGGATTCAATGAGAGGTGATCTGATTCGGGGTTTGGAAGCTAGTCTCCCGACGTCGTAAGTTGAATAAAATCTTTCTTTTTTTTTATTCGAAAGAAGACACATCGTCCTAGGTCTTTTGTTTTCTTGTTTTTTTTGTTGCAGTTTCGATAGAGAAAGGTTTTTTGCATCACTTGTCAGTGGGGACATCGATGGAGCCGAGGAATATCTTTCTGATTTCACCAAACTCGACTCAAATTATTACTCAAACCTCATGTTCTACCTTGTTAAGAGGCAGAGATACTTCAAGCTTCTTGTCGAGTTAGCCTCTGCTTCTTTTTATTTGCAAATCTTTTTGTTTTCTTTTCTTTGTTGGTGTTGTGACTTCTTTGTTTTTGTTTTTTTCCTTTTAATCGTAGAGGCGACACCTGGAAAGCAGGATTTTCGCTGATCTCCCGCCGACCTTATGGGATGATGCATATATCAATACCAGAAACGGAGGAGTTTATGGGTCGTGATATCCGCCGCATTGTAGATGCAGGCCTTAGGGAGTAAAAATTCATAAAACATAAATAAATAAATATATATATACATTCCTTGTTTTAGATCATTGTTCTTATATGTAACACTTTTGAGTTTTGCCATGCTGTAGATTAGAGAAGGCTAAAGAAAACGGTTACACTTTTGATATTCTTTCGGTTGCAAATTCTTACACGGATGAGATGTTTACTATGATGAATCAATTCATTACCATGAATCCAGATCTGCAGAAGAAAGAAGACATATCTTCTCAAATGCACAAGTTACATTTACATGACAACCAGACAACCATGGTATATAATCTTAAAACGGTTTTGTTTCTTCTTATTTAATTTGCTTATTTAATTACCTACACATATATATAATTTCTTCTTCATATATATAGTAGCTTGGTGTGGCCGGACCAGCAGCTGTAGCCTTTAACGGTGGAGAAATGAATAAGGACAACTGATCAAGGACTCTCCCAAGTTGCTTTACTGTGTTTTATGTACTATGTACTGTGAAATTAAATTTGCGTATTTGCTTGTTATTCTTATTATTACGTATGGCATAAAGAACTATTTGATCAAATAATTAAGGTTCTTTTGGATGAGAGTATTTTTGTCGATGAAAGACACAATCTGTGTGATATCTCCGAATCACACATGTGTGTGGGGGTGGGGGACAGTACAGAATGTTTTCAGTTTCCAAATTTAGTTACAGAAAGGTATTAGCCTTGTTTTGCCATAGGTTCCTAGCATAGTGAAACTCGTGTTTGTTGCACTAAATGAAAAGAAGGTTTTTCTAATGGCTTCCAAATATAATTGTACTTGCTTCTTGGTTGTTGGTGTTGACCAGCGATCGACAACACATACACACACACCAAAGTATTTGCATTTTCATCTTAAGAGTCATAAGACATTTGTAGCATCAAATCATTTGATGTTACCAGCTGAAAATTCGGAGTTAAGTTTGGTCAAATAAGAGAAGAACTTACTGAACAGACTTTGGAACCTACTAAAGAAAGAGGCATTGAACTCAGTGATGACCTTAAGGATCTCTCTACTTCAGTAGACAACCTCACTTACTCCAAGGTACATTTAGCCAATGACTCCAACTCTCTTTTGAATTCATCACCATTAGCAGACACAATCTACTGCAACTTAAGCTACTATTATGGAAGAAATTCCATCCTCTATTATTGTCCTCGAAGCTAATTTGGTTTCACCGGAACTCAATTTGCTTGCAATAAGCAAGATGATGAAAGCGGATATGTGAGTGATGCTACGGCAAATCTCAACATGTCACGAGGTGGAAGACTAATAAAACCAATCCAAAAATTTCAAGATATGGAATGGAAAACAGCCGGGAGGAAAAAGGTAAAGAGGGTTGTCGGGGCCGCGAAAATCACCTTCCATCCTCTTAGTAGTTTCATCCTTTTCTTGTTTTATTAAGCTTGTGAATCATATATCTTCTCTTTTGCAAGCTATGCTTGGTTGAATATGAGGCATGTCTCATCATATTGTCTCAAACTTTATGGTTGTTTCAACCATACCTTGTATGTTTTTAGTATTTCAATTTGAAAGTCTTTTTACAAAAAAAAAAGGTCATAAGACATTGTTAAGGGGAGTGTGACTGTGTAAGAAACGTACGTTTCTAACAGGTAAAGCCACAATTTCAGAAACATTTTTGAGGTACAACAAGTAGTTGAGGTAGTAGAATTTGTTCCTCACGAACTGTTTAACTTCAACATTTCCCAGAGGCAAAAACAGGCACAAACTGAAGTTTAGGAAGGTAAACAAATTCACCCTTGTAAACAATGACAAGAACGAGTTCTTTACCTCGTGGTATCTAGTAACCAAGTAGCTAAGCAGTTCGCTTGTATTTTTAATGTCAGAATCTTCTACAATGATTATGAAGAAAATTTTAGAAGTTTTCAGAGGACTAAATGATGTAAAATAGTTTGGTGGATACTGGAAGATGACTTGACAGTAAAAAAAAAAAAATCTTAAACAAATGTCCATCAAGTATGGTAGAGAATATTGTACAATAGTTTGTTGGATAATGGAAGAGGATACTGTAAAATACTTCCTTCGTTTCAAAAAGATGAACATTTTAGGAATAATATTTGTTTCAAAAGATATATTTTTTACATTTTCAATGTATAATTTAATAAAAAATGTAGATTCTAAAAAACTTAATTGTGTTTCTTAAAATTCTATTTGTTAAAAAATATAAGATCGAATTTGTTATCTATAATAAATGATGTATTGGTAATCAAAATTTTATGTTTTTTTTTTAATGTGCAAAAAACTAAAACGTTGAACTTTTTGAAACGAAGTTTACCTTTTTTTTGTTTTTTTTTTTTGGAGTTTACCCTTACCTTAACGTGAATGCCCATTTGAGTATTTTGCAAGTGGTTCTCAATTAAAAGTTTAAAAAAATAAATGTCAGTCAATGATTATTTTCTTAAACAACCGATTGTTAATTACCTAATTAATTTTTATCAACTATATCTGATATTATTCTTTTCTCCTATTTGACTATTTCAATTGACTTTTTTTTGGTTAACTGACTTGTATTTTCTTAATTGCCCCTACCTTCAAGTAAACAATGTCCACTTGAGCTAGTTTTGCAAGTGTCCTTTAATTAATTTGTTTTTTTTTTAAATAAGTGTTCGCCAATGATTATTTTCATCAAAAATCAATTGTTAATCACCGAATTAGTTGTTTTTTGGTAATTATATCTGATTTTTTTCTGTTAGTTGACAACTTCATCCTTAAATGTCATGTCATCTAATTTTTAACGTTTACGTGTGGGCTGGATACTACGTGGTTGCACCTTACTGCAATGTCCTCGACTCCTCGGCTACATTCGTCTTGTTAAACATTGTTATTTATCATTGTTTTCTTTAAAAAGTTGAATTATTAAAGGGCGTCTTGTTATTTGGTTTTTTTGGGTGTAAGTCTTGTTATTTGTTTGTTACCAGTACTACCATTTTTTACCTCTCTGTCCATGAAAATTTCTTTTATGGGTGTTTATATAATCGTCAAACAAGATGTATCTCCAAAAACGCAGATGAGAGACACATAAATGAAAAATAAACTTGTTTTTAATTTTACATGTTTTCGTTCAAAACATTTATAGATAGTAGGATCGACGAAAACATTTAGCGGTTGACCAGAGATTTAAGTTTAACTTGTGGCCCCATATGATTTAGTTCTTTTTTTATTACCATGGAAGATTAGTTCAATAGTTGAAACCAATTATTTGCTAAAATATGATTTACCTTAAACATATATAAATGGTTTCGGTTTATTACTTCATGGCACTTAGCCAAAAACAGAAACAATAGAAAATGAAGAGACATCTCATCCTCAACAACCTCGTCTTTGTCTTTCTCGTCGTTGGTCTCTCCGTGGAATTGGGGAAGGGACAGAATACGACAACGCAAGTTATTAATGTTGGTGTTGTGACTGATATGTCGGGACGACTGCGTCGAACTTGAGCTTGATCGCCATTAACATGTCCCTCTCAGATTTTTACTCTGCTCGTCCAGGATCTAGGACAAGGCTTCTTCTTAACTTTGGCGACTCCAGGGATGATGTTGTTGGCGCCGCAGCCGCTGGTATGTTCTTCATTTACATTTAGTTGTGTAATTTTCTTTCAAATAGATGAACTAACAATTATAATCATATCAAACAAATTTCGTTTACTAACTGAAAACATAAAGTCGAACACATTGGAAAAAAGAATTTCCGTTTGCTTTGCAATTCACAAAAAAATTATGAAATTATTTAAGACATGTTTCCAAAATATATTTTTATTCTGAATTTGAATTTTATTCGTGTAAACACAAATTCAAATATTGTTTTCCAAATACTTGAGGCCAACGCTACCCCACTATTATACAGATCTATGCACCCATATTAACGGCGGGAAGAAAGTATTTGAGATCCAATATCAAAATGTATTTTTCATTTATAATACATGAATTCAATAATAAAGGTAAGGTTCGTATTATATACTCCTTCTGTTTCAATATAAGTGTCACTCTACAACTATGCACACGGATTAAAAAAACAATTAATTTTACATATTTCCTATATAAAAACACAATTACCCACACACCTAACCATATTTTAACTAATAGAAAAACAAATTACATAATAAAATTAATAAATTTTGCATTGAAAACCGAAAACGACACTTATTTTGTAACACAAAAAATTCTCTACAACGACACTTAATATAAAACGGAGGGAGTATGTTTTAAGGATTTAAGGTGTTCAGCCTCTATAATGTACTAGATAGAAACATAAAAGACTTTTATGAAGAAGAAAGTCATGTCCAATAAAGAATTGACCAAGTAGATAAAACTTTTGGATCACTTAATAAATGGTAGAAAAGGTCGTCTGATTAATTTCTGTTGGAAATGGTCTGGTTTCCAAAGAGATTTTAATATAGTTTGGACGTTATCCTAAATAATATACGAACCTTCCTACCTAAAACCTTTCAATCCACTAGATAAATATAATGATGCGTGATTTGTTTTACTTATTTTTACTGGCATTTACAAAATACTTTCTAATATTAAATTATTTCTAAGCCACTTATCATGGAAAAATGAAATAAATTGAATTTAAATTTTAGTTTGACAAAAGATATCATGCATATTTCTTGAGTAGATATAACTCATGATCTCCATAAACTTTAAAAGTTTAAACCACTAATATATACAGTAAGTATCAATTTTTTTTTTTTTTTTTTGATTATCATGTTTGAAATGGTGCAAAATTCGAACAGCTTTTTTGGCTGCTAAAGGATTTCTAAATATTTTATTTTAGAAATCCTTCACAAGTCGTAGAATCTAGGGTTTCGAGCACGAATGAACTGATAGTCATGTTTCCATTAATTCTTGGCTTTCATGTTACTCTTATAACTTAACAATATCCATGTTTCCACAGCTCTTGATCTTATAAAGAATAAGGAAGTGAAAGCAATACTGGGACCAAGAACTTCTATGCAAGCTTCTTTTATGATCGAGGTAGGCCAAAAATCTCAGGTGCCAATTATTTCATTTTCCGCAACGAGCCCATTCCTAGACTCAGGCCGTAGTCCATATTTCTTTCGCTCTACTTACGACGACTCATCTCAAGTGCAAGCCATAAGTGAGATCATTAAGGTGTTTGGTTGGAGAGAGGTGGTGCCTGTGTATGAGGACAATGCCTTTGGTGAAGGTATAATGCCTGGTCTTACTGATGCATTACAAGCTATCAACATACGTATACCTTATAGGACTGTGATTTCACCTAATGCAACTGATGATGAAATATCTAATGAGCTTCTTAAACTGATGACTAAACCAACTAGAGTGTTTGTGGTTCATATAAACCGGTTCCTTGCTTCAAGATGGTTTCCAAAAGCCAAGGAAACAGGTTTAATGAAAGAAGGGTATGCTTGGATCCTCACTAATGGAGTTATAGATAATCTTGGTTTGATGAATGAAACCGATATTATAGCAATGCAAGGTGTCATAGGGATAAAGACTCATTTTCCGATATCTAAAGAGCTCAAAACATTTAGATCAAGATTGGCTAAGGCGTTTCCGGTTTCCGAGTTGAATGTCTATGGAGTGAGAGCTTATGATGCAACCACAGCGTTGGCAATGGCTGTTGAAGAGGCAGGAACAAGTAACATGACTTTCAGCAAGATGGATGGTAGAAACATATCTGACCTAGAAGCACTTAGTGTCTCACAATATGGTCCAAAGCTTATCCATGCACTCTCAGAGATTAAGTTTAAAGGACTTGCTGGTGATTATTATTTCACTGATAGACAGCTTCACGTATCAGTGTTTGAGATTGTCAATGTGGTCGGCACTGGAGAAATGATGGTAGGATTCTGGTCACAGGAGAAAGGACTGGTAAGAGATTTGAGTCCAAGTTCAAGAACTACAAGAACTTTCTCTACTTGGAGAGATCATCTGAACCCGATTGTATGGCCTGGATTTACCACTACTGTTCCAAGAGGATGGGAGATACCAACAAACGGGAAGAAGTTGAAAATTGGTGTTCCTGTTGATACTTTCCCTCAGTTTGTGAAAGTCAAGAAGGACCCTATAACACATGAAACCATAGTAACAGGTTTTTGCATTGATTTCTTTGAAGCTGTTATTCAAGCGATGCCTTATGATGTCTCTCACAGATACATTCCTTTTGGAGATCAAGATGGCAAACCTTACGGTAACTTCAACGATTTGTTGCACCAAGTCTATCTCGGGGTGAGCCATGAGACCAATCTTTATTTTTTGAGTAATACCTTCCAATAGCATTAAATCATGTTTTTTGACAAAATTAACACATAAAAATTCAAAATAACATTTATCAAAGACAAAAAAAAATCATATTTGAGTTTAGGGTTTTATAATTAGAATTATGGTTTAGTATTAATTAGGGGATGGTGTGATGTGAGATTAGAGTTTAGGACATGTTTATTGAAGTTTTTTTAAGAAACGGTTCTTAGTTATATTAAGCTAAGAACCATAACCTAAGAACGCTCAATAAATATGGTAAGTCAGAATTTTTTTAAAAAAAAAATCGCAAAGAGTGTTATTTTAGAAATTTTAATCATTCGGTTTTATTTTTTGATAAACTTAACAAAAAGGCTGTTTTGGTGATTTGTATTTTTTTCGGTTTTGAATCATAAATGTAATACTCTTCCATGTCTAAGAGGCAGGTATATGATGCTGTGGTGGGTGATACGACAATACTGGCAAATAGATCCTCCTATGTTGATTTCACTTTGCCATACACAACATCTGGTGTAGGCATGGTTGTCCCTCTAAAAGACAGTGTGACAAGAAGTAGCTTGATCTTCTTAAGACCTTTGACATGGGGACTTTGGGTTACAGCACTTTGTTCTTTTTTTGTTCTTGGTATTGTTGTGTGGATTCTTGAACATAGGGTGAACACAGACTTCACTGGACCTTGGCTATATCAAATCAGCACTATGTTCTGGTTTGCCTTCTCCATCATGGTTTTTGCACCCAGTATGTTTCCCTCTTCCCTTTTAACCAATCAATAAACGAGGAGAGTTTTTTTTTAAGTTTTTTTTTTTTGTAAATGATTTTTTTTTTGTTTTTAGTTTTTAGTTTTTTAAAAAGTCTACCTATTTTGTTTATAGGAGAAAGAGTGTTGAGCTTATCAGCAAGGGTGGTGGTTATCTCCTGGTACTTTATTGTTCTTGTCCTGACTCAAAGTTACACTGCTAGTTTGTCATCTCTTCTTACAACACAACAGCTTAATCCAACTGAAACTAGCATGAAGAACTTGCTTGCAAAAGGCCAAGAGGGGCCTGTTGGATACCAAAGAGATTCCTTCATCTTGGGGAAACTAAGAGAATCAGGTTTCCCAAACTCTAGACTCGTGCCGTTTAACTCCGCAGAGGAATGTGAGGAGCTTCTTAGAAACGGCCCATCAAAAGGTGGTGTTTCTGCAGCTTTCATGGAAGTACCATACGTGAAAGTCTTTCTTGGACAATACTGCAAGAATTATAGAATGGTGGAGGTTCCATTTGATGTCGACGGGTTTGGTTTTGTAAGTTTTCATCATCACTTCTGTGTTGGCTTCTCAACTATCCTTGTAATGAAGTTTTGGTTTTTGTAGGTGTTCCCAATAGGGTCACCTCTAGTGGCTGATGTATCAAGGGCCATTTTGAAAGTGGCTGAGTCTAACAAAGCAACTCAACTTGAAGATTCATGGTTCAAGAACATAGATGAAACTTGTCCTGATCCAATCACTAATCCTGATCCAAACCCAACAGTCACCTTTCGCCAGCTCGGCCTCGATAGTTTCTTGGTTCTGTTTGCTACTGCTGGTGCCGTCTGGTTCATTGCCTTGTTGAGATTTGTGGTCTATTTCTTAATAAAGAATAGGGATATACTGAGAGATAATAGAACCCATTGTCAAAGAATGAAGAAGATGTTGCAAAGATTCATGGAGAGTGATGATAGATCATACATAAATGACGTGAAACCCACATGTCCAAGTGTAGTAACACCACCTAGGCAGCAGAACACTGGTCCTGGTCAGGGAGACAACTAAAACAATATTTTTAACTTTTTTTTTTACCATAATAAAATATGCTGTTAACATTCATTATATTGCAAGAACTAAGATCATCAATCATAAATGTCAAATTTGTGTATGTTAATATTTGAAGTGAATTCATATAAATTTCTTAGTTAGTATAATATCATTTATACTTTTACTAATTAACTCTTGCACATCATTGGAAAATAGAAAGATAAAGTCGACAATGGCAACTGTTATATAATTTAGTGACAGTAATTAAATTACTCTGTTATTCAGTCACAGATTGTTTCAACCTTGACCTTAGAACAAAACTTAAGAACAGGAACACTGTCTTCCCAAACCAACTCCAACATAAAAGGCTGACCAATCTTAAATACATCATTAGCTTCACAAAAATCTTTCCATCCTTTTCCCAATCCTCTTTTTCCATATTTTGATCCATCTTTCACCAGCTTTATCACCCGCTTCACGCCATGTTTATCCATCAAGATTATCTCATTCTCCTTTTTGATACCGTTAACTTTCATGAATGTTGCTGGAAGAATCTGCACAAGATTCAGAAACCAACCAAAATATAAAGACAAGTAAAAAACTGAGTAAAATACATAAACAAGTTCTTGCTCACATACAAGTTTGGAGTTTCTGAAATTGTAACGTTGGAGAGTGATTGTAACAAAACGGTTTTGCCTTGAAGATGATGAAGCTACCCATTTAGAACGCCTCTTTGTCTTCTCATTCTCTCTCCCTCTACTCATGTATTTGCTCATTAGTTCTGAACACTCTTCTTCAGGACATATACACATCATGGGAGAAGTTTTACCATCTCCGACAAGATTAAACACCATTAAATCTCCTACTTTTAGTTTGTTATCTTGGCAGAATCTCCTCCAGCCTCCTCTGATGTAGTAACTTCCTCTTGATTCCCTAAATCTTAAATTTACCGTCCACGAGTTTCCCTCTTTGTTCACTACTATCATCTTGTGGCATCTTTTGGTCAGAGCATTCGAACTCGCAGCTTCAATAGGAAGATTCTGAAAACCATAGTAATACATCATGATGATTTATACATGTCACGTAGAATAAAATAAGTACTCACAAGTGTGTCTAGTCTTAGATTTGAAGCAGTGACTTGTGCTACAAAACAGTAGTCAAATGAGAAAGAGGAATTTGGCTCTGTATCTGGTTTTAGATTCTTCTTCCTCAAAACATTTCCTGAAACATAAGAAACAGTTTCTGTTTATATCAAAAAGGGTTTGATCTTCTTCAAGTAATATTGTATTCAAGCTATAAATAAAGTAAAAATAAACTAAACTTACTAATATTTTGGTGATGATTCTCATTGTCATCATTATTGTTGTCAATTTCTTCTTCCTTGATGAGGTGAGATAGTGGATACTCAATCTCACAACAGCTAGGACCGAAAGGTGTGACATTAAACATCATATCACCTTCATGTTTGAAGATAATGATGTCGCCGATTCGAAGGTTATGTGCTGTGGTGAAGTCTTTCCAGCCTTCGGTTAATCGCCGACCATCTATTGTCACTTCCCAAGTTTTGTCTGAAATGTTTGATCTAAGTTTAGCTGTTCTCTGCTCGTTTTTTCCTTCTATGTGCTTTGAGGAAAAGGAAATTGGTATTGTCTGCAACAAAAATAAGCAAAAAATCAAATAAACAAAAAACAGAAAGAGAGTATAAAAGAGAGACATAAACAGAAGAGAATCATAGAAAGGAGAGAGTATACAAGGTGAGTGTCGAAACCGGGAAGAAGTGGCTGAAAGAAATGAGGATTGGTCGGAGACTGAAGTGGTGGATTCTCCATTTCAAACCATTCAGGAGAAGAAACAAAGTGAATAGAAATCTTAGAAACTATTTTTTTTTCCTGAGCAAGGAGAAAAAGAAACGTTGTTTTTGTCAATGAGCTTTTATTTACAAAAAATCATGTTTTGTTATCTTGGTTTGATGATGTGGTTCTCTTTACTTTATAGAAAAAAAGGTAACTGTTTCAGACATCTTTTGTCTTTTAATCAAATGAAATCGAGCCAAGGTGCATGTATAGTAAAAAGCTGTATAATTTTGTTGCTTTCTCTATATCTTTTAGGTTACGACCAAACACATTTAATATCCTGTGGTATTGTGCCGTTAATAATTCAAGTTAGATGAAAACAAGTTTGTGAAAACATAAGAGAACACTTTTTGAGTCTTTTGACCTACAATACCCGGTCAATGAACTCACACATCTTATTAATATTATACCATTGTCACAAAGTCAAGACACGGGAAAAGGGCCTATTCCTACCCGAACAATTTCAATCGTGCCAAATACAACCCGAACAAACATTTAGTGCCAAATACGACCTGAACTACGTTATAATGCAAAAATACTACCTGAACTTTTTAAAACGTGCCTAAGCCTACATTGACCGTAACAGAAGTTAGTCAACCGTTAAAATGATAAACCGACGTCGGGTCTATTCCTACCCAAACAATTTCAATCGTGCCAAATACAACCCGAACAAATATCCAATGCCAAATACGACCTGAACTACATTATAATTCAAAAATACTACCTGAACTTTTTAAAATGTGCCTAAACCTAGATTGACCGTAACAGAAGTTAGTAAACCGTTAAATGATAAAACGATGTCGTTTCGATTTCATTATTTTTTAAAAAATATGAACATTCCGGGATTCGAACTCGGGCCTTGCCACTATTTAAAACAGACATATCAACCACTAGACTAAAGCAATTTTTTTACTTTTTCATCTTCTCTAATTAAAACTTTGCTTATTATTATTTTTGATTCTTATTAATATATTAACATATATAATAAACTTATAAATACTAAAATATAAATAATAAAATATTTATAATTATACAAAATTAAATATATTCATGTTTTGAAACTATTTAAAAAATGTCCATATATAAATTATTTTAAAATTTTAAAACTTGAAAGTTAATTTCTTTTGTTTCTTAAAATTAATATAAGCTGAATATACTTTACCAAAATAAAATAAATTACCATTAAGTTTTATTTTTAAAATAATTTATATATGGACATTTTGTAAATGGTTGAAAACATGAAATATATTTAATTTTGTATGATTATAAATATTTTATTTTTTATATTTTAGTATAATATAATTTTATTGAAGATATAATAATTACAAAATATGATAATATATTTATAAGAATCAAAAATAATAATAACAAAAGTTTTAATTAGAGAAGATTAAAAAGTATAGTAGCATATATAATTGCAAATTTCTAATAATTTTTTAAAAACAATTGCTTTAGTCTAGTGGTTGATGTGTATGTTTTAAATAGTGACAAAGCCCGGGTTCGATTCCCGGAATTTTTATTTTTTAATAATAGAATCAAAACGACGTCGTTTTATCATTTTAACGGTTGACTAACTTATATTACGATCAATGTAGGTTTAGGCACGTTTTAAAAAGTTCAGGTAGTATTTTTGGATTATAACGTAGTTCAGGTCGTATTTGGCACTGGATGTTTGTTCGGGTTGTAATTGGCACGATTGAAATTGTTTGGGTAGAAATAGGCCCTTTTCCCGACGTCGATTTATCATTTTAACGGTTGACTAACTTATGTTACGGTCAATGTAGATTTAGGCACGTTTTAAAAAGTTCAGGTAGTATTTTTGCATTATAACGTAGTTCAGGTCGTATTTGGCACTGGATGTTTGTTCGGGTTATATTTGGCACGATTGAAATTGTTCGGGTAGGAATAGACCCTTTTTCCGTCAAGACACAGACTATAAACAGGAACAACATGATAAAAGAGTATAAACCTAGCAACTCAAAATCCCAATTGTTAAGCAGAACGAAAAACATGAACTCCCTCATTTTTTCCGTGCATAGAATCTGATGTCCACATATAATCGAAGTGCCAATATTTTCCGCAGGCAGTCAAACATGGACTTATTAATCATACCATTTCCACATGAAATGAAACCCTAAACCCAACATGGCAGAGTATTATATTCCAGAAGTAAAACCTCAACTACGAGAACATTTGAGATTACACTATTTAAGACAAACACGACATAGCCCTTAAACTGCTCTTTCGTTACAAGTATGACATATTGATAAAACTGAACGTGAATACCTACATTTTACGTTAGGGCACTGAAACCCACTCTTGGCCAAGTATTGTTAACGTTAGATCATCAGGAATTGAAATAACATAACAAGTCCAAGAGGTTTCATTCGCTGGAGAGAACCGGTAAAGTATTCTAAACAGTGAAAAGGGAATTTACAGTAGGAGTGTAATTCATCAGAGACGCAGGGAACTCTGTAAGAGAATCATTGTCTTCATGTTTTGCCTCGTCCCGTGACTCAGGAGTCTGATTGAGCTGAGAGGAGGTAACTAATGCTACGGAGGAACTTTTAACAGTGGAGATTGGAGAAGAGTCGTTATATGGGCTAACCGCCTCATTAATAAATTTTGGCCCAATCAACATCTCTTTGATATTTGCATAATTATATTCCCATTTGTTTCTTTTTTTTTTATTTATGTACCCATCAAATAAATTTCCAAAAAACATATATATAGAGAATATCCAAAAGAAAATTGTCAATTAAGAAAAAAATCTGAGATTGTGACTTATTAGTTGGGAGACAAAGAATATGACTATGATTTTGACCCAAAAAAACGAATATGACAATGAAAGCACTCCATCCACCATCCAATACATGATGACTACAAACAATCCTACAAAAGCACTTTTCTTGTTTCTTTTGTCAACTCATAGTCTTTGTAACTTGTTACTTGTTAGCTGGAGAAAAAAAAATTGAAATAGTTACATCTTCTTCAGAATAGGTCTACCATATTTAATATGGTACTCTGTAAAACAAAACCATATGTTTATGTAGTTTGGCAACACTTCCGAAGTTCAAATAATTTGTTTTACAGAATACTTTTTTTCTATGAACTACACTATGCTTAGAGCAACTCCAGTGGAGATTTTAAAATACATATATATGTAGTTTGTTTTACAGAATACTTTTTTTTCTGTGAACTACACTATGCTTAGAGCAATTTCAATGGAGATATAAAAAGAAAGGTTTGGGGACCTTTGTCTATATAATTTTTTTCTAAAATTTTGGGGATCTAAGGCGAATGTTTCGTACGCTTGGCCCAAGACCGGCCATGTGTAATATCCCATTGAAAATTTGTAATTGTTTTTCTTGAAAGAAGAACTGTGGTGGCCCATGGCGTACCAAATAAATATATTATGTTGGAATTTCGAATAAGGTTTGTTTAAATAATAATAAAAATAAAATCAAATCAAATCAGGGAGAGGCAAAACATGGTGGCCTATCAAATCTATTAATTCAGACGAGGCGAATGAGCACTGCAAACGAAGCAATGTTCTTATGATCCTAATCGAATATCCAATATCCACTATAGTGAACGTGATCGTGATAATCATTGTATTCCTCACGTTAGTTTTATCTTAACTAACAGTAACTTTTTTTAAAAAACTTAATAGAAAGTTAGTAAACTACAGGCAAGAAAATTTTTGAAACGAAAATTAGTAAATCTTTTTTTTTCGTGGGTGTAAATGTTATACTTTGCAAGTAAATCGCACACATAAGAGGCACATTAAGAGGTGTTTGAGCCAAGTTAATTGACCCATTTAATTCGTCTTTACAAGGCTAAATATTTCGTTAATCCTGGCAATCTGGCCATGGAAAACTAAAGTTATAGAAAATCTAAATCTAATTCATCCGATTCTGGACGTAACATGTCGGAGCTTGCTTATTATGTTTTGATTTGTCTTGTTTGAATTTCCTAGAAAACTAGTATCACAAATTAATTTGGTTGCATGAAAAATATGATACAAAGTGAAATTTAGAATTTGTAGGTTAGCAAGTTGTTCGCGGTCTAACCTGCTCGACCGATTTTGATGGATTTTCAATTTCAAACATTAGTTACACAAAGATCAAATCAAGTAAACCTTTGCATATATAATACAGTAGTTAACACAAATTCTTGGCTCATGTGTTGTTGTAGGGTTGCCACTTTACACTTCCGCTTTAATCCATCTTCATAAAAAATTTAATATGACTTTAGAAAATTTGTAGTGCCATAGTTCCTTATCTAGAAGAAGAGAAATTTGTACGTCACCAAACACCACTAAAACTCAAGTTGGGGAATATGTTCATTTGCATATATTTAAATAATTTTTCCTTTGAGTTTAATACTATATCTTTGTCCCTAATCCTCAATTAACTAACTTAGTATAAAGTTGGAATATTAACAGCATTGCTATAGTAATTGTATAGTATTTTTGTGGATGTAATCTGACAGGAGCTTTCTTTGGTGATTAGTCCAACAATTTCTATTATAGTTGAAATATACTTAAATCATTAAAAATGAATGAAAGTCACTAATAAGAAAGAAATGGCCGCGCAAGTACAAAAGTGGAATCTGGTTATCTATCACAATTACAATTAAATATTGCAGATTTGTTTTAGGAAAAAAGTTGGCATTCTATATTTTAATATAAATAAAAGTTTGTGGAGTATTTCGAATCCAAGTGGCCTTGCCTCATACGAAACTTTCCTTTTGAATAAAGCAAGAAAAACATACGAAATGGATATTGCTTAAATATTATCAGTCACAGATTACACAAATTTTTTTTACACAATTATGCCTTAGTTTGATAGTATATTACTTTTAGTTAGTGAACTCGTATCTCGATATGAAAAATTACAACTTGTAATGGGATGTAACACCTAGATTACCACGATCTAACATCATCGTTCGATTAATTTCCTAAGTTCATCTTCGTTCATTTTAACAACTATTTGGACTTTGTTCAGTTTTGGTTCGTTTTAACGTTCATTTTATGCGTGTATGAGGGTAAATGAAGATAAGTTCTAAACGATGAGCGGTGATTGTCCGTGCATAACAAAACGTACATCCCTCTACAGCTTAAAAGATGCAAGTGGAAGCTGACGAAATGTAGGGCACAAAGAAGTAATACAATATTAATTTTCTCATGATATAATAATGAGTAATGGAATGCCAATGAATTATATATGGCCCTTACCCCTTGGTGCTTTTATTAAATTATTTTTTTGGTAAAGTTCTTTTAAATTCAAGTAAGGAACTTTGATAAAATGAGTAAAAATCAATATCATGGTAAACTCTGAATCTGTTTTGTAAATGCCACTAAAATCAAAACAAAAAAATAAGAAGACTTTTGTATATTATTTTTTCTTCTTTTAAATTTCGAAGATAGTTTAAAACTTAAAGGCAAAGCATAAGAAAGGAAAACTTTTTTTTTTGTCAACGAAGAAAGGAAAACTTACATTTTGAAAAGAGAAAAGTTTGTGGAAAAACATGTAAGTGAAGAAGTTTGTGAGAGAAAAATAATAAAAAGGTAAACAATTTAGTTAAAGGTAAACTAAGGAAGAAAGAATGCCACATTTTTTTTAATTCCACCGTGAATGTTGGATAACTCTACAGAAAACTCAAGTGACTAAATCAACTAACAATCATATAATAAGCTGAATTAACGTATCAGTAATATGTCTGCAATATACATTTTACGGTACAAAAACTATAAATCCTTGCAACTATAGTGAATAAGCATCAAATTAGTCATAAAATTATTTACAAGTATCATGAAACGGTGTCTCAGCACATAAACAACACGAGGACCTTAAGTAATCATCCGATCTTATCCATATCTCATGATGTACGAAACGGAATCATCACGTAGCTTGGCTAAAGAGACTAATATATTTGTCAAATCAAAGCACCCAAGCCAATTGTAATTTTTGGAAATGAGGAAGAAAAATAATTCGAGATTGTTGGCACTTTAACCCACAATCTATCTTTCTCTCAAATCATCTTTGTTCGCTCTTATTATCGTGCAACATAGTCATATTCCACTAGACCTCAAATCTAATATGCTCTTTCACTGTCCTGGATAATTACATTATAATATATATAGTATATAGATATATTATAATGTCAATATGAGCAGATATAACTGTACGGAATATGTATATCTCAACTCTCAAATCACTGTATTTTTTTATCTAATCTTAAAAGGAAAGTGTTTAATTGTCCAGTTATGTTGAAACATGAATTGAAACCATGACTCATGACACCGTCCCTTTTTTATCTGTCACTATTATATATTAAATCACAATCAGAGGTTTAGAGTGGATGATGCACAAATTAAAATTTAGAGTGGATATGGAGCAACACATGTCCAGCCTATAGATATATTGGTATATGTAGTGGCAGAGCTAGGCAAATTTGTCAGGAAGATCAATTCATAATTATCATATATTACATGGGTTATTAACTAAATTCTACACTATTTTCCTAGTTTTCCAAAGAAATATACATGAAAAACTTTTTTTTTTATAAATTCACATGGGTCAATTGACCCACATGCTAACAAGGTGGCTTCGCTACTGGGTATATGCAAGGTTATTCATGATTTTAATTTTTAATTTAATATATTGTTACTAATGAAAATCATATTCAGCCGTTTCTGTTTTCTTATATTGAAATTGGGATATGTGGCAAAATAGTAACAGTAAAAAAAAAATAGTAAAAGTAACGTAAACCATTATGTGTAAAATAACTATACCACACGGGTTAAAATATGGTTAACAAGGTATTTAAACTCTTTAAGACTCAATTATTGATGTGGTCTAGAACCATCGTGAAAATCTTGATTGTTGCCACACTAGTGTAGAATTTACCAAGCAAGGTAAAAAAAAACTTGTTAGACATTCTTGGGGTGCGTATTTGTTGAATATATATTGATTGGGGTGTTATGAAATAAATTTTAGTATTAATTAAATAAAATCGTCACTTCCTTTGTCCCCAAGTTGCGTATACCTATTGATATAAATACCTCTCATTACCTTCCCCATTGTTTCATACTCAGCTTTCCTCTTCACACACGTTAAGTGAGAAAATTAACAAAAAAAAAAAAGAAATCATCTAAAGAAAAAGAAAATGAGACTATTGAGCGTTAGATCGAACTCGGAAGATGTGGCGATGCACGCCACGTCAGCATCGTCATCAGCTTCCGGTTATCACGGTACGGTGCCGCAGTCTCCGTGGCACTCACCGGTTCCTTACCTCTTCGGCGGTTTAGCGGCGATGCTTGGACTCATAGCCTTTGCTCTTCTCATCCTCGCATGTTCTTACTGGCGCCTCTCCGGCCAAGAAGGTGGTCGGAACGGTGGAGAAGTGGACGAAGAGAAAGAGAGTGGGACCGGGGACAAGGCGGCGAGCGGAGCTTACGAGGAGAAGTTTCTTGTCATAATGGCCGGAGAAAACTTGCCGAGGTTTCTCGCGACGCCGACGGTGAAAAAGTGTACGTGTGGTGTTGAGGAGGGTAAAATGGTAATTTCTCAGGAGGGTAATGCTGTTGTTGGAGAGGAGGAGAAGGTGATCAAAGATATTGGAGAACCAACAACAAGTCACTGAGTTTTGTTTTGATTAATGTCTTTTTCTTGAGAAGTTTTCCTTGTGATTCTTAGGAATGTAAATTTTACTATAGAGCAAGATTTTGGAGTTTTACTTATTTTGTAATGTTTTTATCTTTTGTAATACTAAATCCTTTATTTCAGTTTTTGTAAATTTGAGGAAATATGTTTGATCACTTTTACCTACATAAAAGACTGTAAATGCGGTTTCGTACGTGTATATGCGTGTACATCCATGTATTTAGGATTCGATCGTTCAACCAATTTACTACATTTGGTTTGATTTACTGCAAAATTTTGAAACAGAGATTATATTTTAAAAGAATTCTAGAAATAAATCAGATTGCAAAGAGTGAAGAATGTATTAAACGTAAGAAAAACGCAAAAGCAAAATCATTATCTATACGTTAGAAGCTTTCAGAACTTGTTTTTATATGGATGAGGGTCCTTTGGGCTCTTTTCTATTTTATTTTATTTTGTATTGATAATTGGCAGGGCCGGATTTGGACACAGCCGATCGAAATATTCACCTTGGTCCCCAATTTTTTTAGAAAATTTTAACCTAGGATTAAGCCCCTAAACATTGACCTTGGCCCCAAAAATTTTAGAATTCTTAAGAAATATTTCAAGGCCCCCACAATCTCAGCTCCGGCGCTGGTAATTGGCATTCTAGTAGGTCAACACCTTTTAATTTCATCAAAACTGAATATGTAAAAAAAAAAGAAACTGAATATGCAAATATAGAGTATTTATTACAATATGTAAGTATATATTAATCACAGTAAAGTGATTAAACCAGCTAAAATAATTGTAGTTTAGCAGATCTTTTCCGACCGTAAAATGTTGTTCTCTAATTATTTTCAAGAAAAAATATATGTTCCATTTATTTTCGACAAGCTAATACAGTATTATCCGTTACAAGAACTTCTAGCTAATTAATAAAATAATTAGCTTAGCAAATCATTTTGTGTTGCGTATCTGGTTTTAGCTATTCGATGTGTCAACAAAGAGTTGGCGGATATCTTAACACGTGTCACGTACTATACAGTTGTGACTTAATTATAGCAAAAAAGAATAGATTCTGTTTTTGACATTTTGACACCGCTCATTCGAGGCCGCCGAGTAGCCGCGTCAGTCTAAGAAAGTTCCAAACAGTTCTCTTCCATTTAGATTTTAGATGTTCTTTCATTTATTAGTTTTTTTTACATCTTTCAATTATTAGCTTTAATTTGACGTTTATATATATTTTATACTCCTTTCGTTTCAGTTTATATGTCATTGTTTATAATTTTTTTTTGTCTTAAAAATAAGTGTCATTTTATAGTTTCGATGTAAACTTTATTAATTTAATTTTTTATTTATTTTGTATTAGTTGAAATATGATTAGATGTATATGTAATTGTGTTTTTATTTTGAAAATATGTAAAAAATATTTTATTATTCTGTGTACAAAAATATAAAACGACAAATAAAATGAAAGAGACGAAGTATGTGTATTCCCGTACGTAATACTTTTATTTCAACTTTGCAACACTTTATAGTTTTGAATAGCTATGTGATTTAGATGCAAAAACCTTTGGATATATATGTATGCAGCATGCTGGCACTTGAAAAAAAAAGTTTTACTTATATCAAAAAAAAATTAAAGTAGGTAACTAACAAAACGTAAGGATTTTTTTTTGTGCCAACACAACACATAAACTAAATTGTTATATTTGTGATAAAAAAATGAAGCAACCAAAATTTTCTTCAAATAAAAATTGAAAAACAATAAATAAAAAAGAACATTTCATTCTTGCTCATGGTTCAAAGGAGACAACTTCCTCACATACATCGATCAATTCCTCAACGGTCTCATAATAATGCTCTTCTTCCTCTTCCTCTTCCTCTTCGTCTTCTTCTTCCTCACCAAGAAGATTTTGCCTTTGGAGTTTCTCTTCCTCATGCAGCTGCTTCCACTTGTCTATCCACATCTCCCATTCTTCTTCCATCACTCTCCTCTTCTCCATCTCTTGTCTGCTCAACAAAGCCACCACCTCTTCGTCTTCTTCCTCGTACCTCACCACGTACTGCCTCAGATTCTTTTTCACCTCTTTTTCCTTTTGCTCTGACAACAAAGAGGGTGGCCTTGGACGCCAAGCAAACTGAAACACCAATAAAACGGTATCATTAATGACTTGTTTCTTTTCCTTGCTCTGCAAGCAATAATAGTTTTCTGAATTATACTTGAAAAACTTGTTCCTTGCGTGTTTGGTAAAGCAACTTCCCATACAAGGACCAAATGTAAAACCCATCCTCCATCTCATGGACAGATGATGTCACTGTAGTTGCAACGTACCTGAAAAGAAAAACAAAAATTTAAAAAGACAGAAAAACATATATGTATGATATCTAAGGAGTGATGTTTTAAGGTACCTTCCAGTTGGATCCCATTTGATATCTGTGGCCATGAAGTTGTCAACAGTTGCCATAGTCATAAGCATATCCACATTGTAAAACTCAAGCTTGCCATTTAACCCATCAGCTAGGACCATGTGCTTGCCATTGGGAGACCAGAAGAGGGCATTGGCTTGCTTGGCCTTGAGAGTAACTAGCTTTGAAACTCTTCCAGGGTTCTCCACTGAGTAGAAACTGACATCTGGTCTCGGTAAGTCGCCGTGGATCACGGCGAATCTGTGACCCTTTGGCTCCCAAGAGAACTCAATGATCTTATCATTCTTCTTGTCAAGCTCAAGAACCTCTACTGGAATATCTTTTTCTTTAACTCTGAAAATCTCAAGCCCTGACTCTATTCTCTTCTTTGATTTCGATCCGTATCGGTCCACCTTGACAGCTAGATAGGCTTCATTGCTCTGCCAGTACATTTTGCAGTCACTCACGTTGAAAAGATTCTTCTGCCTTATCTCCACCTTGCTAGGGAGTTGCACAAGAGCGACCTGAGAGAGATCAAACATGTCAAATACAAAGCAATCGAAACCGAAAAACCGCGAGGTTTGAAAAAAGCATTCTCACATACCCTAGCAGGCTGGTTACCATCACCTAGCTCAGGAACAAATAGTGCAAGGATGGAATCAGTAGGAGACCAACAGATGTCCACAACATTATCAACCTTCATTGATTTCTTGTCAATTAAGCTGAAAGTCTTAGTTTCATAAACGGAGATTGTGTTCTTTCTAAGTCTAGCAAAGTACTTATCATCTCTTCCACCAGCCCATCTGTTAGAAATTAAATTACAAAATTTATAAATAAAGTTGTGCAGAGGATACAATTCTTAAGGATTAGAAATTACTTGAAAACAGGCCATGATAAGCTAGATCCTCCAACTGAAAATTCATCAGCACTTCCTTGAAAACCTCTCATTAGTCTACGGCTTTTCACATCAAAGATCTTTATATCAACTTGCTGTAAAGTAAAGACATACATTAATTACTTCACATCCATAATAAAACTATAATCAAAAAGCAAAAGATGCACTCACAGTTGCATCGTTTGGGTTGTTTGGTGTCTGGCTATTGTAGGTTACCAAGTAGTTCTCACCTGGGGAAACATCTACAAGTTGTACCTTCAATAGAATGAACATACAAAGTCTCATGCCATCATCAACGATAAAACAAAAAAAAGTGAAATCATTAAGTAACAATCAAAAGAAAAAAAAACAAACCATTGGATGTTTATAATGCATGAGAGGTTTAAAAGTAGTAGCACCACCGCAAAGAGCTACCCCTGGCCTGTGAAGTGTCACTAGGTATGTCCCTAAAGGAGACCATTGAACAAAACTCTCCGTCCAGTTCTGCATAAGTGAATAATCATAAAGATTAAATCATAATAGCGTTTTACTTAATAACGCAGGGATTATACGTTTTAACTAACTTGAAGCTTATGAACAGATTCAGACTTCAAATGCCTTGTATCGTTCCATGAAACTTCAGTATCAGGGCCACATCTTACTACAAACTGATCCCGAGCCTTTTCATCGGTAAGCCAAGTTTGCAGATTCATAGTTTCCTTAAAAAAAAACGTTACATGGTGGCAATAAGTAACAAAAAAGATACTAATAAATTTTTAAACTCTTGGAATAAGATAATTTATATACTTTTGGGGCGTAAGGCTTGGTTTGAGGAGGCTCCCACTCCTCATTCATATTCATCAACCTCTCAATATCATCAAACATATAAACGGCCAAGTTAATGTCCTTGCCGAAATGGTAGCCATGAGTCTTCTCTTTAGCCCTTTCAGCTTCCTGCACACAAAAAACAACAACAAGATATTGCAACAAAGTTTATGGTAAACTCGTGAGTCATGTCTAGATAATATTTAAAATTTATAAAATAACATTTAGAGTCAAACAATATTTAAAATAGATAGCATGGAAGATAGTCTTAAGGATAATAATAATAACCTGACGGGTATTGAATTCAATAAAACAGTAACCTAAGGTCTTGTTGGTATCTGAATCAACGGGCATAGCGAATCCACCTTCCTTGATTACTCCTAGCTTATTGTATGATTCGCAAAGTTTTTTTTCAAGTTTCTCAAACTTGTCCATACCGACAACTGGGAGTTGATCAACGACGATGATATTACCAAACCCTGTCTCAAAGTTTTCATCATTTACGTAAACATCTTCGTCGTCACTATCAATATTACAGCCAAATTACATGACAGAAACCAAACATATAATATAGAGAAAACCATAGATCATTTATAGAAGATAAATATACCTCTCGATTCCAAAGTTCTCTCCAGGAGGAAGGAGAACAGAATCGAAGTTGACCTGAGAGAGATCAATACCTAACTTAGCCGCTCGGCCATATAAATCCAGGACTGCCATGATTGTAACTTTTAACTTGATTGCTTTAAGTATTTCGATTATGGTTATATTAAGTTCTACAAACATAAAAACAATAAAAACAGAAATTAAAAATCAAAAGAGTTATTAAGAAAACATATAATTTAACAATTAAAATATATTATATCTACTTCGTTAAATTATATAATGTTATGATATTTTAAAATAATTGTAGTTATTTAATAAAAAATGTTTATTATTAAAATCTATTTTTAGTTTTGTTTTTAATATCTGTTAAAATATGAAGTAAATTTTTTTTATTATTTTTGAGAAATTATATTATATAAGTAAAATAGAATTTATATGTTTTGTTGTATTGTAGTCAAATAAATATACTAAAAATAAAAAAAAAATATTTCAAGAATACAAATTATAAAAAAAAATCAATTAAACATATATCAGTTTATGTTACTTAATTATTTTATGTAATCATCTAATAAAATAGATAGATATATACCAAAAAATAATTACTTTGAATATATATATATATTATTGTTTGAAATTATTTTTTTAAAGGAAAAAAATATTTCTTTTTCTAATATCAAGATTAGTTGTGTGAATTTTTTTTATGGAATCACACTATATACAAATATTGTTTTTTTTCATCTAAGAAGATATAGATATGAAGTATTTTATTACTTCAAAAGTATATTTTATGTTATTTAAAATATATTTAAATTAAATATTACTATTTTGTGAACTTTTCTTTTTTATGAAACCATATTTCTATATACTTATATTTTCGTTTTAAATAATTTTGTAAACTTTATAAATGTTTCCTTTTTAGTTTATATTGTTATTTGGAAAATTTTGAAAAGGAAATAATAATATTTAAATATATTTTTTTAATTCATTAGGGGTATCATAGTAATCAACCACCGTGAAAGTTAACGTGAACGCGACACATAAGAAAGTGACTTCTCAAATAATATTATAGATATATATATATATATATATATATATATATATATATATGTATATAAGGTCAGAAAGAAAAAGGAAAATCCAATATGATTGTGAAAAAGATAAATCACTAAAAATTAATTAATTATAAAGATCCCCAAATCGAAAAATTAATTTATAGAAACACAATTAGTTAAAAGAAAAGAGGGCTTGACCATCCTCACCAACTCATTTCATCTCTCAAAGAAGATATCCTAACTATTTGCTATATATTTCAACATCAACCTCGTCCAGGCATATACTCCATCAGTACATAATCTGTACATAATCTGTCTGGAACAAACATGCTCCCAATTTCTTAGAGTACTAATTATCAAACTGTAAAGATGTCTTCGGATTGTTACTCACAGTCAGTTGACAACGATGATTAACACTTGTTCATTGGTGTCTCTATGTAGGAGTTTTTGAGAAATATAGGATTAGCTTTTCCTTTCAAGTCTCATTCAAACTCATGACATGTTATAATGTCATTTAGTCTTGTTTTTTAAGCAAGGAGGGAACGCTGTGACATTAGAAAATGAACAGCTCGGATTTGGACAATACACTCTATCAGCTACGTGTATCATTTCCTCTATCTTCCGGTGTATCATGACATCTATCTGCCCCGGATCAGCAATGCATCTGCAGTCTTCAATCTGAATCTCTGTCTTGCAACATGGGCAATGTGTTCCTTTCCAACCATGAAGCAGTTCTGTGACTTGTTTCTTCATGCAATCAATGCAGACACGGTGGAACCAAGTAGGCATTTCAAACATTTCACAAGGTTGAGCGTAATCAAAGCAGATGGGACAAGTCTCCAACTCGATCCCATCTTCAATCCATCTCGTTTGAGATGTGATATCATCTTTCGCAAGCTTGATAACATAGATGATATCCCTGCGGACAAACAGTGCTCTGAAAGACAAGAACCGACTCTGAAGAAGAGTCACTTCCTCAACAAGTTTTGCTACTGTAGAGTCTTCTGATTTAGCTTTGCGTGTAACATGTACATAAAAAATAGTAGGCGTGACTTCTTCACTTTCCTTCTGAGACATGAATACAAAAATACACAGTTTGAGTAAAGAACGTGAGAACATACGTATTCTAAGATGTTTGACTTGTCACAGTAGAGAGTGACCCTGCTCAACTCAAGATCTAAAGCCCATTCCAACACATGAATGATGGCAATCAGCTCCACAACTTCAAGGAGTGCCAAAAGTTCATTTCGGACAGCTTTCTTCATGTCCAAAAGCGAGTGGTCACAGATGGATACACCAAAGCCACCAAACATCCTTGTATCGTCTCTAAGGTAGCCTTCACTGACCAGCCCCTTGGAGTATAGCGTGAAGGTCTCTTGAAGATTGCTTGAGTCTGCTGTGATGGTGGTGTAAGGCTACTTCATTTTCTCGACACCTTTCTTTTTTGAACCTTGCATCCCGTGCACAAATCTCTTGTCACTCAACAAGATATGAAGATCCTTTTTGCTATCGTTCACCAACTTCTGAGCAAGCGATCGATCCACACTTTTGTGATCGAGATCTGTACATTCTGGGACAGAAGCGGTGATTGCCTCCTCCAACTGAAGCTCGAAGCAAAGTTCCGCATCCTCTTCGTGTTGTTTCTCCGTCACTGATTCATGATCCTTCACCATGGTGTCTTTGATGATAATCAATCAAAACCTAACATATAATGTTCTAATCAAAACTCTGTTCGGTGAAAAATTGAAATACAATGATGAACAACAACAATCACACAAGAAACGAAATGAAACCTAGCCGAAAATGCAGAAAAAAAAAGTAAAGGTTGCAAGCAAAATCAATGTCGAAGAGACGATTCCACGAAACAACTTCGACACGAAATAGATATCAACGAAGTCCTGTAACAGTAATTCGAAATCCATAACCCTAAATGTAGAGAAAAGCTTATAGTAACAAGATGGATCCTTTGCGATGTGAAGATATCCGGTTCTAAACTTCTTAGTCGGAATTGTAGAGTGTCGAACGAAGGAGACAATCACTTTTCTGAGTTAGTTCAAATTATATTTACTCTAACCAATCAAACTTTACACAGCATTTTTGAATGAGGCTTGATAATTGTTGCTTTGTCATGAATTTCATCTTGGGTTTGGCCCAACTCCTATTTTTCCTTTCAGGTTCTTTTCGTAAAAGTGATGTCGTTTTGCAATTAGAAGCTACAATGTAATAAAAGAAAAAAGTTCTAAACTCTTAGAACTTATAATAAAGTTTATGAAAATATAATATTGCTACAAATATTTTTTTGGAATTCTTAGTATATTATTTTCTAAACGGTTATAATTCACACAAAAAAAAATCTTAGATATTTAAACATTTGTTTTATATTTATTATTCATGAGTTGGATATTTAACTTCTATTTCAGGATTACATCTACTAAATACTTTGAGAATTATATTCATATAAATTTGTATAAAAGTCAGATAAAAAACACACACACATATATATATATATATATATATATATATATATATATTCAAATTTTTATTATAGGTTTACATAAAAATGAAACACATCAAATCATACTCTCTTTATTTTTGAAAGAGTGTCATTTTAATTTGTTTTTTGTTACATAACAATGTTATTTTAGAAATTTTAGTTTAGTATTAAGTACAAATACACTATTTGTTGAACATGTATAATTAATAAAACATTAATCTTTTTTAATCATTTTTAATGTGTGAAATATTAAAGTGATTGCAAAACGGGAGGAGTATTAATTTACAATCCAATTTTTTTTTCTAATTGATGTACTATTCTAAAAACATTGAAAATTGAATCAAATCAAAATGTTAAATTATTATTAAATTTAACTAATTAATGTTTTATTTATTTAATGACTGTCACTTGTCTGTACAAAATTATGTTGATATATGAAATGAAGAACTCTAAATAGATAAAAATATGAATAGAAATGGTTACTGATTCAATTTTTTCTGACTTAATAAAACTTATGCCGATAAAGAAGAATATGTAAAGGATATAGCCTCATTTTATGATCACAATATCTTCACTAATTAACTTGCGTTGGCTTCGGCTATTTCTTCGATTTCATCAATATCATCGATAGGGATTTCTTCACTTTCATATGTATGAAAATCTGCAATACACAACCAAACATGTTTGATTCTAATAATTTAACTAAGCATCTCTGTCATTGTTACTTGATGCAGTTCCATTACAAAGCAGATAGAATGAGTATTTGAACACTTTCACATGATATATACATAAAATTATATCAAGAAAGACATACTCATATACCTGATGAAGCCGGTGAAGCAGGGATCTCGGTTCTTTCCCCTGTTACTGGTGATGAATCAAGTACATATGGAAGACCAAGAAGCTCTAACAAAGACATTGTCTGAGGATTCTGAGGGATCTCTACATAATTCCATTGGACAAAACATGTTAACCACTCATACCTCATCGGTTATGAGACAACTTCACATAATCATCTGTATCAAGTGAATTTAACTTACCAGGTATGGGATCAAAGATACGTTGTGAAGGGTTATAAGCAGGGACCGTCTTTACAAACTCAAAAGGTTTAAATTGCCTTTCCTCTAGCTTCTTCCTCACCAACTCTCGGCTCTCTTGTATATCCATGTCAGCAGAGCTATTTTTCTCCAAACAATGAGCAAAAAAAATATGAATGAGAGAAATATAAAATAATGTCTTAGTAGGTAGCTTGCTAAAGATAGTATTACCTGAAACTCGCTGGTCTCTGTGTTAGCGGGAAAACAGAATTGAACTTTCGTGTTATTGCTAACCACTCTTCATCGTATAAGACTTCAAAAGGTCCAGGCTCTGTCTCTATGTCAATGATCTAATCAAAATGTATAAAACATCATTAGCTTGCAAAGAACAGAAGCATAAGGTGGACAGGAGAAGAAAGAACCTGTAGAAACTTCTTCCCTGGACCACATTTATCTAAGGCAAGAAACTTTGTCACAGCTCCATCGTTCCCATGTTGAACAGCAGCAGCGAATTTGCAATGTAAGTGAGCTGAAAACCAATACCGAGGCTTCAGTTTCTCTAGCAGCTGAGCCGCTGGTTTGCTTCCAAGAGTTCTTGCCTCAATCTGTAATAGATTTGGTCTGATTAATTCTAATAATCTCAAAACCAAAAATGATTAGAATTATTGCTTTTTAACCTCTTCTTGGAAGTAAGGTTTCTGCTGAATAAGTGTTCTTGAGTCACCATAATCAGTGATGCCAACAGGCCAGTCATGTGAGAGGAATATATCAAGGGGCTCTTCAAGTTGCATCAGCTTATGAACATCATACTCACGAACATGATAGACTGATTTGATGGTGCTATTGTTATATGGTGGCCGCTCATAGTGTCCTACTCACCAAAAAAAAAAACACTTTAAGTGATCAAAGTTCTTGATATGAGAGACTAAAACAAGAACAAACCTGAACGGTAATCTCTCCCTTTGTAAATACCAGAGAGACCTCCAATTCGGAGATTACCAAACTTGACAACACCTGCATAGCCTAGAAAGTAGATGTTGGTGGCAGCCCAACCTCCATAATATCTACACCAAGCAATAAACCATTACGATGAAGTCTAGTAAATGACATTTAGTAAGAAAGAAACTTACAGTTCCCACAAGTAGTTAGAAGCCTCGTGGTTACCACCGATGAAAATGGTGGGAATAGGAGCAACTTCTTGGCCAGAGTAGTACTTCCAGAAAGACTTCATCTCTCTGTATTTTATAGGTACGCTAAGGCTATCCATGTCCTTCTCATTTCTCACAGCCTAGTTTTTTTCACCAAGATGTCTTTAACACACCAAGAAAGAGCAGAATCGAGCTAAATAACAATTTTCTATAGGAGAATTAATACTCAATAGAGTTTACCTGGAAGTCGCCGCAGCAGAGGAGGAGATCGACTTTAGTGTTGTGAATCTGTTCGTGGTGTTGGATTGTCTTGTAGACATTGTCTAGGTCTCCGTGCATACACCCTTCAATAGCAATCTTCATCTCTCTCTCGGATTTTTTGCCACTTGGGTTTCACGAGAGCTCAACTTTCATGCTCCTGAGTTTAAAAAACAAGCAAAGAGAACAGTTAGCAAACACCATTAACACCAAAACCAACATGGGGACAGAAAAAAAATCCTAAAAAGACATCAGAACAGATCACCAAACAGATTACAGAACATAAGAGTTAATGATCAGAAACCATAACCCATCAAAATAGAAACCGTAACTTTTGTGTCCCATTTTAGGAAGTCAAAAGGGGACAACAACAATAGACATCAGAAAGTCTGCGACTTGATGATTGAGAGAACATTACCAAACAGAGGACAATTACAGAACATAAAAGAGTTAATGATAAGAGACAGCTTATATGAGTGAACATGTACATAACCCATCAAATAAAAACCTTGTCTTTCGTGTCACAAAGCAATCAAACATGAAGTGAACAACAAGAGTAGATGTGTCTTAATTCTTAGCTCGTTATAAGAGTAAACAGATTCGTCAAAGTTTAAAACTTTATCAGCACTGACATATTTACAATTAGTAGTGACGAAGACAAATCCAGAGGAGTAACATTATCCACAAGCAAAGCGCTCAGAACTAAGATCAAACATGCAATCCCTCTGTAAAAGTATATGCTCAGTTTCAATGTGAATCCGTACCTGGATAAGTCGAAAGGAGCAGGAGGCAGACGAATTGAGTAAGAGCAGAGAAAGACAATGAGGATTAATTAGGGTTTGTTTCCGACAATCAAATACCGCCTGTCGAGGAGCGAAGAAGAAACTGGAGACGACGTCGTTTTTCCGGATAAGTTTAATTAATTTCGGTTAAATCCGGATAGTTTCTATTAATACGGTTTGATAAATAATGCATGTGAAAGGCATGCGTCGCCCACCTTAAAGTTTTCACATTTTATTTGGTAGCATGAAAGACATACTTCTTTGTGCAATCTCAGTTGCAAACTCATAAAATTTCACAAATCAAAAGTATTAAGAACAGAAAAATAAAAATTAATCTTTACTGATATAGGGGGTGATTGGTAGTTGATGTAGATGCTGTTTACAGCCCTTTTTATTTCTACAGCACTAAATTCAAAGTAATCAAACTTTAATTTTTTTTTTCAAAACCACAGCTCTTGAAATAACCTACACCTATACAAGTGTTCTATAAAGCCAAATATCCAAAGTTATTTTTTAGCGAAAAATCTACAGCAATAAAATCTAAAGCTACACCAAAGAGTCTACAATTTTTTTTCTATAGCAAAAATTTTAAAGCTACAGCCATTACCAATCGGACCCAGAGTTAGATACAAAAAACATGGAAATTCTCTTCTTTTTATTACAGACCATCCATGTAATGTGACATAAGATTAACACTACAGTAGAACCTATATAAATTAATACTGTATAAATTAATAATTTTTATAAATAATAAATTTCATCGGTCTCAACTTGAGTCGATGTAAAATATGACATAAATCGATAAAATAATAAAATGATAATATTTTTAAAACTGATATATAAATATATAATTCCATTAAAATCATAAATTAATAATCTATCTATATATAGTTTTATATAAGTACAATCTAACATTACATTGTTGGTTTTATATTTACAATAAAAATATTAAAATATTTTGATAATATTTAGTTAAATTATATTGAAAACCACGTAATAATTCTATGAAACATAAAATATACACTAAATAAGATAATAAAACAATATAAAAGGCAAATTTCTAAAATTTAAATAATGTACATCTACGAAAATTAAATACTTTTTACTTTATAAATAAAATAGAACAAAAATCTGAATAAAAAACTTTTAATAAATTAATATCTTTATAAATTAATAAAATTCAAAATCTCAATATTATTAATTTATAGACATCTACTCTATTAAAATAGAGTCATTCTTTTTATCTACTGATACAAGTTGTCATTTAAATTTGGACTCTTTTTAAAATGTTACAAATAATATAAGTCTTATAATTGCTTGAACCGTATTACTTAAATTAAACCAACAAAATTAATGTAAAAAACGACATTAATGTAAACTACCTTCAAAATACGGCAAATATCTATATGTATACCAAAAACACATATTTTCTCCTACAAATATTGAATAATCTAAGAGAATATATATCATCAAAATATGGAATATGGAGATCTACTAATTAATATTAAATTAAACCAATGGTTATTTATGTAATATAGTTTTGGACTTACTTTTATTTTTTGAACAAATTATATAGTTTTGTTTTTGGGCTTAATATTAAGAAAAAACTCCAAAAACATTGAATAAACTTTTCACCTTAAAAGATAAAAAAAATCAATTATTATTTTCAGACCCAAAAGGTATTTAATATTTTAACTAAACAAAATTATCCATTATTAATCATTTATTTAAATCATGTACTTTAAAACATGTTAATATATTTTTTTATTTTAAATAACAATCACTTTGTTTTGATAATTTCAAAGGTAACTTTTAAATAATTTATTGTTTTATTTTTCTTAAATAATTTACTGACTAAAAAAATGTAAAGCAAAACCAAAAACCAAATCTAAGAACTAAAATCCAAAACCAAAAGCTTAAAACACATATTATATTTTTTTGCTTTGTTTATTTACAAAATAAACTATTTCAATTTTTTTTAAAAATTTGTTTTTCATCTTTTCAGTTTTGAATTAGATGTTCGATTATTTGAGATTTGTTTGTTGGTAATATTTGTTCAAACTAACTCAGCGGGTTTAAAAATTAAAAAACCAAACCAAAAACTTAAAATGAAAAGTAGAAACTTAAAAACTAAAAACCAAAATCCAAAATCTAAAAATAAAAACCGAAACTAAAAACTAATGAAAAACAATCATCACCACAAATTTTGGTGAACTGATTTTATATCAAAATATTATTTAAATTATGACAAAACCAAATTATATAAACTTTTAATCATAAAAAATTTCTGCGCTTTTAAGCGCGGATCTGTAAATCTTCGTCCGTGACAGCGACTGTCCATAGAAATCCTTTTATGACAAAAAAAATTATATATTTAATGTGATACGCTCACGATATCTACATTGGCATAAAATTAGCTGATTGGTCACTCGAAATTCTGGTAGAATTCACCAATAGAATATTCGGATAACCTTCCTCCACCCAAAAAAAACAGAGTCCTCTGTTTTCATCCTCTAAAAAAAAAACTAAAAATCCAATCTTTCCATCACTCCAACCTCTCTCTTCACCAACTATGCAAAACCCTTCAACAACACATGAATCAGCAACCTCCACCTTCACTTTCTTCACCGGTTTACCCTCCCTAAACCGGTCTCCTTCCTCAAACCCAGATACCTATCCTCTCTCAACCTCCAACGCTCTGTTCTTCAACGGTTCCTCCAAGCCTCGGAGAGCTAAAAAGACCTTAGCTTCCTTGAGCTTGAACGCTAAGAGCAGTGTTGGGTCAAGTGTCCGTAGGTTTATAAGTGAATTCAATAGCTTTATTAGGTTTCACTGTGAGAGAGTTGTTCCGGAGAGCTTTGGCTCTGTTTTGAGAGATGAGAGTGGAGTTGGGGTGAATGGTGGTGGTGGTGAGGGTTTGGGTGAGGAGGGTTTGGGGTTGAGTGGTGTGGGAAGTGATGGGGCGAAGAAAGTTTTGATTTTGATGAGTGATACTGGTGGTGGGCATAGAGCTTCTGCTGAAGCTATTAAAGCTGCTTTTAATCATGAGTTTGGTGATGAGTACCAGGTTAGTCTTTGGATTCTGTTTTTTTTTTTTTTTCAGTTTGTGTCTTGTAATAAGATGCTTGGGTCGTGTAAAGAAGATAAGTTTATGAGTTTGACAGTCACTTGATTGCTTTAGAATGTCTCAGCTTAATAGTGTGAAACTAATTTGGAGAATGTTGGTTTTTGATGAGTGATGTTTTGGTATATTCAAGATTTGATTGATTACAATGAGGATACTTGGAGAATCTCTGCTTAGTTGTTATGAATTTTAGGAGTTTTTTTTAAAGAAGTTTTATGGATGTTTGGATCGTGTTAAGGAGATAAGTTTATGAGTTTAGTTGCTTTAGGATGCCTGAAGAGTGTGAAAAACTGTGTGTCTGTTTGATATCAATGAGGATACATTTGCTGCAGAAACGTTTTTAGGTGTTTGGATGTGTAAGAAGATGGCTTTTATGAGTTTGACATTGTGTTATATTTCACTTGGTTGCTTTAGATTTGTGTCTTGGAATAGTTGTGAGCGTTATACTATGTGGATTGTTGTTGATTTAGTTCAGTACATTAAGTTTCTGAAGTAACCAAGTGAAATATAAGTTTGGTTGCTTTAGGATGCCTGAAGAGTGTGAAACTCTATTATCTGTTTAGCTTCAATGAGGATATATTGGAGAATGAGGATACTTGGAGAATCTCTACTCAGTTCTTATGAGTTTTAGGAGTTTTGTAAGAAGTTTTATGGGTGTTTGGGTCGTGTTAAGGAGATAACTTTATGAGTTTGGTTGATTTTGGATGCCTTAAGAGTGTGAAACTGTGTATCTGTTTAGCATCAATGAGGACACATTGCTGCAGAAACGTTTATAGGTGTTTGAATAATTGAATCTTGTAAGGAAATACATGAGTTTGACATTGTGTTACATTCACTTCGTTGCTTTAGAATGTCTCAGCTGAAGAGTGTGAAACTGCCTGTAAATCTTCTTTGTTGATTTAGTTCAGTACATTTAAGAGTGTTTGCGCAGGTGTTTATTACGGATTTGTGGACAGATCACACACCCTGGCCATTCAACCAGCTTCCAAGGAGCTATAACTTTCTGGTGAAACATGGAACTCTATGGAGAATGACTTACTATGGTACGGCTCCACGCTTTATTCACCAATCAAATTTTGCAGCAACTTCAACTTTTATTGCCAGGTGAGACTCTTAAGGTCTATGGTTTGGTTACTCACTCCTTCAACTTGATGATTTTGCAGCATTGTGACGTTTATTAGATAACTTTGATTTTTGAACATACAGGGAAATTGCACAAGGGTTGATGAAGTATCAACCAGACATTATAATCAGTGTACATCCATTGATGCAACACGTCCCACTTCGTGTCCTAAGATCAAAGGGGCTGCTTGATAAAATCGTCTTCACTACGGTCATTACAGACTTGAGCACTTGCCATCCCACATGGTTAGTTTTACTGACCAAAAGAGATTCTATTTCACTTTTCTAAGAAATAAAGGTACATGATCCTTGTCTTTGATGCTTTAGGTTTCATAAGCTTGTGACAAGATGTTATTGCCCATCAACAGAAGTGGTGAAAAGAGCACAGAAGGCAGGACTTAAGACATCACAAATCAAAGTCTATGGCCTTCCTGTTCGACCTTCATTTGTTAAACCAGTTCGTCCAAAGGTTGGTTCTTAAAAAGCTTTCTTTATTGGCTGTTTCAATAGTAATGATTTGATAAATCACAGGTTGAGTTAAGAAGGGAGCTAGGGATGGATGAGAATCTTCCAGCTGTTTTGTTAATGGGAGGAGGAGAAGGAATGGGTCCTATAGAGGCAACAGCAAAAGCTCTTGGAGATGCTTTGTATAATGAGAGTCTTGGTGAAGCGGTTGGTCAGGTTCTTATAATATGTGGACGGAATAAGAAACTGCAAACCAGATTAAGTTCCTTAGATTGGAAAATACCAGTCCAGGTACTCTATAGAACCAAATCAACATTCTTAGGCATTCAATGCAAGTCACTGAAACGGTTTTTTTTTTCTCTGTTACAGGTTAAGGGGTTTATTACAAAGATGGAGGAATGCATGGGTGCCTGTGACTGCATCATTACAAAGGTAAACAAGACAGAACCAAACCCTGGAACTATATAAGGTGTGGTAGTTGATTTAGAGCAACCTTAATACTCCCTCCGTTTCAAATTAGATTTCGTTTTAGAGTAAAATTTTCGTTTCAAAGTAAGTGTCATTTTATAATTTATATGCAAAATTTATTGATTTTAAATGTCATTCTATTTTTTTACTGGTTGAAATGTGGTTGGGTGTATAGGTAAATGTGTTTTTATTTTGAAAACATGTAAAATTAATTGTTTTCTTAATTTGTATGCAAAATCCTTAAATGACAACTAAAATGAAATGGATGAAGTAGTATCTAAAGAGTAAATATTGCTACTTTAATGTACTTTGATAAATATTCAATTTTAATTAATATTGAAAAATTAAGCCAATCACAAACTGGCAAAATAGTTAAGAGCTTCTCTTAATTTCTTTTTTTACTTTTTTAATTTTATTATTAATTTTCTTTAAATATTTTTATTATATACTTACCACTTGAGGTGCTCTTAGTTTCAACATTGTGTACTCAACCACAACAAGTGACGTTAGACTAACTGTTTCTTATTTATGGTGGTGGTTGCTTTGGCTTGTGCAGGCTGGTCCAGGCACTATAGCTGAAGCTATGATAAGAGGACTACCAATAATCTTAAATGGTTACATCGCTGGTCAAGTAAGTTCAACTCTCAAAAACATTCCATGTGATATTCACTTCAGTTTTTTTTTTTTAACTTTGTGGTTATGAATGTGAGAGCAGGAGGTAGGGAATGTGCCGTACGTGGTGGAGAACGGATGTGGAGAATTCTCAAAATCACCAATAGAGATATCAAATATTGTAGCGGAATGGTTTAGTCCAAGATCGAAACACTTGGAGATAATGTCGCAGAATGCATTGAGGCTAGCTAGACCAGAAGCTGTGTTCAAGATAGTGCAAGACATGCACGAGCTTGTCCGACAGAGAAACCGTCTTCCTCAGCTCTCTTGCACTGCGTAACATATATTGTTGTAACTCTATTCATTTAATATCAAAATATCTACCCTCTTTCTTTTGGTTATAGACAACAGTGTAATAATATATATCATACTATATTTTTTTGTTGCCCTTAATGCGAATGCTTAAGGCGGATTGATCACTTTCTAATCATGATAATGTATATGAAACTCATTGATATAGTGTACAATAGTGCAAACCAAGTTAACCGAACAAATCATGGTTTTTATGTTACAAAACAATAACTATGATGTGACTTTGAAAATGAGAGGTGGGTATTAAAATACTCATTTGGCTCTAGTGTGAGGTGCACTTTGTATTGTTTCAGAGAGAAGTTTAGTTTGAGATATATCTGATTTGGTTTGGTTTAAGAAACTAATACCAAAGGAAAAGTTGGTTTGGTTTGTTATTTGTTCAGTCTGGTTCTTGAGATTGGTAACCTCTGTTCACAAAATTGTGATTGTGACCTATTAGAGAGGGGTTCGAACTTTGGAATTGACCCGAGAGAAACCACAAGTTGAAAAAAACCTGACTTTTCAACAAAATTCCACTCTAGGTCATTTTTAAATCTTAGATAGAAAAGTAACAAAGAAGACCAAGGACAAGGCGTGTGCATCAGTGCATGCGCTAAATTTGTAAATATCATTTCAAGAATTGAACAAAAGGAGCTACAATAAGTGTTGACAAATTATAAAACTGAGACGGTACGAAGAGCATCTCCATTGAGGGTTTATGGAGAAAAGTTCACACGGAAATTAAAAAATAAAAAATAAAAATAACTCAATCACATGAACTTCTCTCTTCTAAAGTTCTCTCGGTTGAACTTTTCTCTCTTAAAGTTTATCATTGTAGCGCATACCTCACGACACGTGACGACCCGCGATTGGTCTAACTTTTTTTGTTAAAAAAAAATTAATAATAAAAAATTAAAATGATAGAACCCTAAGATGGAGTTCATTGAGGGGTGCTCTAATTAACGTAAGACAACACAAACTCATAGGACTTGATAGCAGGAGCTCACTCGCAAAATGCCGCATCTCCACTCCAAAATAACGACCACACGAGCTTTATAGTAGGAACTCACATAAAAGAGGAGCCACATCTCCACTCCACTCGAGCTTAATAGCAGGAACTCACACACAAGAAGAGTTGCATCTCCATAAACTAAGAAGCAACTTGAGTCTTTCTCTAAGATAGTATGTAATATATATCTATACATATTGTATTCATATATGATGGGTTTGTGAAAATTTTCAGTCAATTAATTGCTTGTTTTGTGTAACAAATAATAGTTTCTTTTTGTGGCTATAATAATCTCTTTCCCTGTTAATTCCATATTTGTTTGAGAATTTGTAGAGCATTTTATTCAAATATATACATAAAAATCTATTCTATTAAAAGAGAAACATTCTGAAAAAAATCTATCTATACAAGGTTGTTGGACCTATTCCTTAGAATTTATTTAGACTCAATATTTAATCTTTAAACATAGCATATCCTATATAAATGTATTGTTAGTTTTAAGATGTTCTTATGTATTAAGAGAATGAAAATGGAAATTAAATATGGTTGTTAAGATTTTATTATACAAATACAAAAGATAAGGTTACAACTTTTCTAAAGAATGGTCCATTTTTAAAAAAAAATCAGATATGAAGAGAAGTTGTGACTTCTCTTTTAATATAATAGATATTTACACAATTATATTTATAAATAAAATCTTCTAAAGATTTCCAAAAAAGAATCATTTAATAAATTTATCTTCTAAACAAAACAAAATATTTGTTTTAATATTTTACTAAACCATTGTATTCTAATATAATATTATTTCAAGTCTCAAATCCATAAATAACAGCATAACATATTTATTAATAAGATCATATTCAATGATATTTTATACAAAGTAACCATTTAAAATATATATTTTACTACCCAACGTCATGATTGTTATGTTGTAACATTATACACTATATCTTACACTCAATAATGGATCTATAATGTTTAGAAATTAATTATCAAAATGAAATATCACACAACATATTATACCGTGTCATCTTACATATAGTTAGAAATACTTACAAAATCAAATTCGATAAAAAACAGAGCAAAATTATGTTTAAAATTAAATTATATATCATGTTAAATTAATTTTTATAAAAGTTTATTTATGATATAAATTTGTTATCTAAGATAAGTTTAAATTTTTAATAACCATACAAATCTATACTATTAGCCAAAAATCTACCAAGTACATCTTTCGTTTTACTAATTTAAAATATATAACTTTTATAAAATTATCATAAAATATAATAAAAAGATTAGGTATTTGAGTCTTCGGATCGAGTAAAGATCGGTTCCTTATAGGTCCGGATCCTAGACATCCTAATCCAAATAAATAGTTAAATTTTTTTATCTAGATTCGGATCGGATCTTTTTGGTTACGAGTTGGTTCAGGTATATTATTCCAATACATGTTAAATACATGTATTTTTGGGTTTATAACAGGTTGAGATCGGTTCAAATATTTAAAAACCAAAAAGACTAAAAATATCTGAAAAACCCAAAACAATAAAAAATTAAAAATATTAAAAACTAGATAAATACCCAAAATATTCAAATATCTCAAAATCTGAAATTTTAATGAAATCTGACCTAAAGAACCAAAAATAACTAAAATTTTATCTGAATACCTACATTTTTAAAATGTTGATATTTTACCTGAAACCCAAAACAATAACCAAATAACTCAAACACGAAACTTAAAAAGAAAAATCTGTAATACCAAAAAATTATATAAAACAACTAAATATACAATTCAAGTACTTTGGAGATACAAATCCGGTTTCAGGTAGACCAAGACTCAAGCAGAGATCCGTGGTTCGAAAAATATACCCAATAGGTAATTTGTTCTAGAACCAAACCCAAATTGAACCTATATTTTGGAGTGGTTCGGTTTTTGGATCCTGGTAAAATGCTCATGCCTATAAAAAACTACATAAGAATGTATATACAAGTTTTAAATAAAAGAATTCAAAATTTTAAGCTAATTCCTTATACAATATAATTCAAATTTGAAACATAATATATATTTTTATTTATAATTTAAAAACTCCGCGCTTTTGAAACGCGGATGAAAATCTAATTTTACTTAATTGGGCTAATTCTGTCATGCCAATTCTAAGTTACTAAGTCATCAAATATATTGTTCGGTTTAGAAGTTGACAACTAGTTAAATGAAGATTATATGCAGATATATACGAGTTCAAAACAAATATGAAAAGAGTGTTAAAAAAAAATGAAAAGAAAGGAAATAATAATGTTTCTGATGATCTGTGAATAGTCCGATACGATGAAGAGATAAACGTAAAGGTTATCCCATCATGCTTATAGACGCAGATTGGTGACGCCATCACGTTGACGTCGCATGTGGAATATCCGGAAGAGGGGTTTTAGTGGATGACTTAGAATGTATTCATATTATGAGGTTTTATTTTATTACTCCACCTAGGACCAATAAACTACAAGTATGTGACCATCCATGAAAGACTTGTTTCATTAACTTTTCCATGATTTCACAAAAAAAAAGAGTTCCATGAGCCCTAACTATTTTCTTCATCAACAATATTATCATAAATGGATCCTTAAGCCTAATCAAAATCTTCGTTGGTTACTTGACCAATTCAATATGAAAATAGTTCTACAATGAAAGAAAAAGATTAAACCCTTTAACAAAAAAAAAAAAAATGAAAGAAAAAGATTCGTTGCAAGTTGCAACAAGTTAGATAGGGGATCGTGACAAAAACAAAACAAGATAAATAAGATGGTGTTATTCAATCATGTATTTTAATAGAGTTTAAATCTAAACACAACTCATTGTTATTTAAATGATGATTTTAAAATGTGTTTTAAAATTTAGTGTTATTCAGTGAATGATTTAAGTCTAGTTTTTAAAATCTAATGTAATTCAACTTGAAGATTTTAAATTTTTTTATATTTTGAATTGATTTCAAATAATTTCCTATAGATTCTCATGAACAAATGATTGAATTCAAAATCCAAGACATATTGCAGAGATTTTAGAATCTATTAATTTAAACTTTCTTAAAATTTAAAATTTTGATAGATTACCAAATATTAATAATTGATTTAAAAACATTCATTGGATAACACCCCTTAGTTTCAAAGATTTTTATGATTCCGTCTCAATGCAAATTGTCAAGCTACATGAAACAAATAAAAAACTCATGCATATTTAAAAGTTTGTAAGAACTTTTATGTTTGTAAGAACTTTTATGGAACAACCAAATCTTTCAGAATCTGCACTGAACAGTGGTTAGTATTTTGTATCATTGTGTGCCGAAAGAAATGGAATAGCTGAATTAAGATGACACTAGATTATTCATTTTGAGGAAAAAGAAAAAAAAAGACAAGAAAAAAGAGGTCGGTGTCGGAGCCGCCCAAGGTGGCAACTTGTTCACACCAAAAAGCCTCACTCAAGTTGGAAGTCACGGTCGAGTCCGGTCAAGATTTGCTACCCTTTCCCCCGTGTGGGTCCTTTCTCTTTGTCTTTTCTCCACCAAATTTTCCACGTTTTTGTATTCTGCTCCACCAAGTTATTTAATTATTGTCGACTAATACATTATTGTTAAAGAATAAAGAAGGTTGTAACTCTCATTGTATTATTAATCACGTGGTTACACATATATATATACATACAAGAGAATAAAGCATATTCCTTAGGAGATAAGGATTGCTACAAATAAAGGGGATGATTATCCTAATCCTATAATGATTAGGATATCTACAACATATGGATAAATACAAGGGAGGATAATGACA